TCAAAATAGTTGAGAAGAGCGGTTTGCAAAAGATGACTGGACCACCAAGCTGCAAGTGCATCTTGGGAACATTGGATAGCCGGATCCTCGTCCACAACATCAAGCAGCACTTCATCGTCGCCAGTACCTTCCTGGGTTGGTCGGTTCCAGGTCAGGTTCACAGCACGTTGAATAATGTTGTCAATCATGACATCCTCGCAATCCAGTTTAATCAGGGCAGCAAGATGTGGGGGAAGCTGATCAGGGTGACCCTCAGGCAGTGCGGCATTGATTTCTCGAGCCACACCCCACTGGAATCTGGCAAGAGCTCGCGCAATATCGTTTGACACATGGAACGACCAGGAGCCCGCCTCTCCGACGTTCCACAAGAGAATGCGGACATGCAAGGCCTTGATTATCATTCTCGTGGGAGTACAGGGCAGTGTGCCGGCGGCGAAGATAGTGAGCACAAGGCGGCTCTTGCTGATCTCAGCATCTCCACCAGTGAGTTGAGCATCGATTGCGATATCCCAAGTCTTGACTCGCCCTTTCTCGTCCTCCTCGGTGATTCCGGTGGCCCATGAGTAGAATTTCCATCCCATGAAGCATCGTAAGACGTATTCAAAGCATCTCGAAGTAACAACATACCACTCTCGGAAGAACCTATGACGTGGAACACCGACCCGTTGCATGCTAGTCAGCCAAGCCTGCCGACGGAAATCACTAGACGTAAGAGGCGCAGTCGGGCCCTCGGAAGCCGATTTTGATGGGCCACGTCGCGTGATGGGCTGCGCATTGAACAAGTAGACAAAAACAATAAAGGCACTAACAACGACCAGCGTTGCTAGCATGAGGAAATGAGAAAATGCACGCGCCTGCCACGAGTACCAGAACTGCTTCAGGTAGAATTCCCAGTGTGCGAGTGTGGGTGTTTGGAAACGGCCGAGAAGCCTGATAGGGAGTGCAAACAGGCCCTTCGCCTCGGACTCGGAATCGTCAGAGCCCATACCTTCAAGAACCATAAGACCGGCAAGGGCACCCAGCATATACTTGTTGGGCATTCTTGAACGTCGAGTGGAGGTATCTTCTCTTGCATACTGCGGTTGGTGAGATGAGGATGATGACGACGACGGGTATTTGATATAGGATTCGGCAAAGGCTCCTTGCTTTGCAGTTTCAGCTCGCATACGTTTCCACGCATCAGGAACCGGAAGGAGGCCTTCTGGGGGGTTCTGAGAGGTGGGTGAACTCTCGCTGGACACCTCTTCCGCCTGAGAAAATACACTAGGTGATGTACCGGAGCCCGAGTCCGTGCAGGCGTAGTTGCTGGGCGAGGACACAGAGGCCGAGGATGTGGCGGCCTGATCTGCTGCTTTATCAGCCTGGCGGAGCCGGTTCTTCAAATCAGTGTTTTCGTCTTCCAAACGTTGGTTACGAATTTCCAGATGCTTGATGTACTCCGTCGCTTTCGACAAAATGGATGCTTTGTTGAGCTTGTTCGCAGCATTTGCTCCCTCCGCTTCGTCATCATCATCGTTTGAGCCTCCATTCGGATTCTTGGTTGACCGAAGGCTGGGAACACTGTCGCGAAGTTCGGCGATTTTATCGTTCAAGTTGGCGCGATACCGCTTCTCAATGACGTTATGAGCTCGCTTTTTGGCGGGCATTTTCTTGCCCGGCTGTACGGGTCCAGTCACTGTGGTGGCATCGTCATCGCTGCCCGTCTTTCGCTTCCGGCTTGTCCCAACACTTGAGATTGGAGACACCAGACCTAAATGTTGTTGTTGGGTCGTGTGGCAATTTTGTCCGGGCAGGCTGTTGGTGTACTCAAGGTTGTTCCCGGCATTGAGCTCGGATGGAATTTCCATCAAGCCGAGCGGAAGATTAGGCGAGAAGTCTGTGTAGTTCAAATGACTTGGGGAGCTCATATCTGTGTGTGGGGAAATAGATGGTAGATCTATAGACGAAGCCATTGGCTTTTGATCTCCTTCCGAGAATATTGGCTCATCCCATCGCATCCATTGAGTCCAATCTTGGTTCATATTCTCTCCGGTTGGATGTGTGAACGAATGACCATTTCCTCGCGCCTCATCCCCACCAGAGCTTCGTGAAGAAAAAAGCTGAAAGTCATTCTCCATATTGGGGCTGGACATCTTGGCTGGTATTCCACAGTTGGATCCTTGGCCAATGCCCGAGGCAGTCTAAGTCCGAATGATGTACGGAGTATTGGGCACTCTAGATAGATGTCACTGGTGAACACGTTAGTTCCAGTAATAGGAAAAAGCCACTGCTCCTTTAAAAGAACAGAATTTAGCTGCCTGCACAGCCATACTCGAGAGACAGCTAGGCCGATAGAGGCTAGCGGCGATCCCATGACAGCAGTAAAGAGATTGGTGATACTGACTGGGTTCAACTTCAAGTGTAACGCTCGAACTTAAATGAATGAAGCTTAACAGACGTGAATGTACTCCGTGCTTTCTGCAAAGTGAGATGTAAAGACTTGAGTTGCAAGGAGGGGAACGTGAGAGTCTCAGTCACGGGCGGTGCTAGGCGATTGGAGGAGCAGAAAGTAGGGGTGTGCAAGATACCCACATAAAACAGACGTATGTTGTTAGTGCAAGCAGTTAGGCCCAAGGAACCATGTGGGTTCTAAAATCCGCAGCGCAAAGGTGATCCCCGAGTGATAAAGGGAAGGTGGATCACCTGGGCAGCCCTTGAGAATACGGGAAACAACGTAATGGGAAGAGACAGATACAAGCTATTGCTTCAAACTGCAATCGAGCTTCCAGTCTCCATGCATGAAGATCAGGGGAGGTTGTATGGACCAAAATACACCAAGGCCAGGCAGCCGAATGGGAAGGCAATCTCGTCGTATGATCGCGGCTGGCCGCACTTCCGGCTCGCCGAGTCACCCCTGACGGTATCCCGGTTGTTAATTTCGCTGACTCATGACTATTTGCGCTTGTAACATGGTAATTAATGTTTCATGACAGTAATCAAAGGCCAATGTTCATTGGTTCTAACTGTCCCCACCTTACCCACCTACATCTCCCTCTAGGAAGTGCGTTGGTGGGCATGTGATTTCCGACCTTCACTCTTTCACTTCTTTACATTTCCTTCTTGACTCCATTATATCTCCTTTCTGACCTTCAATATTCGGTTTCTGGATTGGAGCTAGCCGAATTACTTTTTTTTTCGCACTCTGATCGTCTCGACACGTCATCGCGTGATGTCTTGGCGCCCCGCAGGTAGGCGACGCGGGAAAAAAAAATGGGCGTGTTATGATCTTATCTGATCTTGCCTGTCTCCACTTCTGCCTCGCCTGTAGCACCGGAGCCCAGAGAAACGGCGCAAGAGGCGAATGGGATCAATGGTACTCCGTACAACCTAGCAGGCTGTGTGGATCTTGAATCTGCTGTCATAGTCCACCTTGATTTACATTAACAGAAGCACTCGGCTCTCGCGACCACTTTCTGACAGACATCCTAAATAAACTTTTCTGTCTTATGCATCCTGCGTCATGATCCTTTACCCAGCTCCTTGAAGATCCATTCACTTTCAATCGGGCTGCTTTCGGCTGTTTGGACTCAAAACTTCATGAAACAGTCGACTGATCTCATTGTTATCCATTTTTATCTGCTTATAATAAACTGGACTATGTTCTCAATACTACCAGATGACATTACCAATATATTGTACTTCATCATCCCATCGACTCCCTCATCGACTTCTTTACTACATCACTGGCCTTCTCGTATGGAGCACCGGGCTTGAGCCTCTCTAGCGTATTCTCCACACCCCGCTGGCGCAGAACATCAAGCCACCGCGTATTTGGTCGATGCAGAGGAAATATGTAGATAGCTCACTGACATTACATCCAAGTTAGTGAGAGGTCATTTGTTACAACCAAAAATGGGTTAGTGTGGAGCCTAGAGTTAGTAGTTATGAACTGCCTAGGTGAGACTTGTCATGGTGGTCGTTTAGGTAAACCTTTGGTTTTCCAGCTGAGTACCCCGATCGTGGATGAGAGTGTGAGGCCCCTTGCCCTTTACAAAAGGTCTCTTCATGCCTTATATGCCTGCCTTGCTTTGGCCTCGACGTCCACAGCGACCTTCTTGCACGGGATGTGCGAGCTCATCAGTGGGACCCCGTTGGTATTGGTGGAAGTTGTAGCAGTCTCTTCAGAAAGACCTGGCTGATAGTTGGAGTTGCGTTTTAACCACTTTGATCGACATCGGCAATTCCCGACACGGGGTCGCAAAAGAGACCTTCGCCAAGGGGATTCTCGACATCATCTTTGAGAACAAAGCGGAAAGCCACAACTCCTTCACTTCAATAACCTTGATGATATTCCGAGAATCAAAGTCCATGGCTAGGAGTTCTTCAAAGACATTCACGCTAAGGTCAGGCCCTGTGGAGGGATTCACCCGGTCGTTGGGGGTAGTTAAGCTGTTCTGTTTGTGAAGCGAGATTAGAGATTTGTCTCAAATTACTCCCACCTTGGGGATACGGGTTGTGGGGAGACATTTGAGCCCCGTGGTCCCATTTTGAATGGCATGCAGAACGTATCGGTATCTGTAGATATCGAGAAGACGATATTTCTAACGCGTATTAATGCCATCAACTTTTGTGTATAGTAATAGATCAGCTGTATAGTTGCCACGCTATACGTTGGACATTAGGTGGGGAAAAGATAAGGGAAAAATCCGCATCGGCGTCTGGGCCGATGATCAGCCCTGGAGGTTACCAACGGATGTCAAAGATCGGAAGTACCCCGAACGTCTTATAGTGAGTACCTTGCGATTTGCTACTTCTACTCGTCTCACTCAAACTGCAACATGGAATTTGTTATTCGAGTCAAACAATCCTTTTCTCAATTTATCTCTTAAATATGGATCCATGCTTAATGAACTCGCGACAGAGCGCCATCACAATGACTAAATTACCAGCCGAAAAGGATTACCGAAACTGAAGTGACGAGCTTGGCTTTTGTTGTCGACAAGGCAACATGAAGCCTAAATTTAGTGCTGCAGAGACGGTCAGCCACGCGAGTCTACATTGTGTCCGAGGAAGCAGTTCAACGTACCGAGATGTCTTCCCATTTCTCCCAGCCGCGTCCACGGACTTGAGTCAGTTCTTCATCCGTCAGCTGCTTGCCGGTAGTGAAGTATCCCGATTGGATCTTAGCATCAATCTCGACCCTTGAATCACTAGGGATCATCTCGTCGGGGATAGGTATACGCTCGATAATCTTGATACCAGAGTCCACGATGGCGTCGTGCTTCATGTTCGACATTGATAGCATGCGATCGATCTTCGTGATGCCGAGCCAATGCAGAATGTCGGGCATAAGAGCTTGGAATCGCATCTGCAGTGGGGGAAGTCAGTATGTGCGAGCCACGTTAAATGGCAAGAATCCTTACGTCGCGGACACCGGCGATATTCTCTGTCCGAGTGAAGTACTTGTCGGCGGTGTCGCCTCCACGCTTGCGCGCATTGTAAACCAGATACTTAATCACTTCTCCAAGGGCTCGACCTTCCTTGCGGAAGTAGATGACCACACCACTGCCGCCGTTCTGTGCCTCTCGAATTGCTTCGCGAATACCGAACGCTAAGTATGGTCGGCAGGTACAGATATCTGACTGGAAGACATCACTGCCATTACATTCATCGTGGACACGCAGAGCCAGCTTGACATTCTCGTCGGAGATCCGCTCCGGTGGGCCAAAGATATACACGGTAAGGCCTCCGATCGGTGGCAGGAAGGTTTTCAGATCGGGTCGAGTGATAAGCTCAGGGTAGCTCCCACCAGTATGCTCGAACAAAGTCCGACGAAGAGTACCTTCGTCAACCCCAAATCGCTCTGCCACACCGGGAAGATACCAGACAGGCTCGGCTGCTACCTTGGTGACACGAACCTCGCCTGATGAATCAACAAGAATAGACCCGTCCACTTCGAGCAGGCCATTCTTCACATCATCGGCAATCTCCGCGAGTTTCATGTTAGCCCGAGTGACCGCCATAGTTGGACGGATATCCCAGCCAGCCTCCAGCTCTGCCTTGAACTGGTTGACGATGTCATGGCCGTAAGGATCCATAGAGACGATCTTTTTCTTATCCGCCCAGGCAGGCTGCGGGGGAAATCGAAAGTGGGCTCAGAGTTACGGAAGTCCGGTCGGAAATCGGCATCTAAGTCACCAGCGGCAATGGCAAGGGCATTGTAGATGCTGTAACTGCCGCCGTGGGCGCCGATGGCATTGCGGCGCTTGACGAGATTCCCGCTGCGGGATACAACTACCGGACCCCGGGATTTGGCGTCGGGAGCGCCCCACTCAAGGGGAACGGGCTCAATGCCGCTCTGGCCTGGATAAGTGGTCAACTATACTTGATATCAGCATCATACAAACATTGAAGTCAGCACAGACTTGATCTTCCTCACGATAATATGGTTGCTGTACCGGGGATTGGGGTCGGTGGGGGGCGTTGGTGGAGTTGGTTCCATTTGTACGGGCGAGACGGTGGTGATGGGTTCTGTTTTCAACATGACTACTTAGAGAAGAGATGCTCCAGGGTGAAGCAAGATTTGAAGACAGGCAAGATTTGAAGAGAGGCAAGTAAAGAAAGGGAGAAAGAGCTCAGGAGGAGGGGAAGTACAGCGCCATGTGACTTATCTTTCTCCTCACGTTATCTGAGGGGCTTATCTGCAGGTTTACAATCAAAGGGGTACTACATGTACTATGTAGTTAGTACTTTGTATTAATTCCTTGGCTTTGATTATAGTGTAGTATCGTGTACAAATGAAATAGCGGTATACATAGCACCATTCTCGAGCTTTCCCCAGCTTCTATACTAGCAGATCCCCGTACCCACCGGTTTCCACCGGAGTTCTTCGGCGTTCAATCTAACTGGTCGGAGTAGCGAACACCGAAACTCCATGGATTATTGCATTTTGCCTTGGGACACTGCCTTTAAGCAGAATTGCCTGTATTTCCCTATGAGGTAAATGATTTCGGTTCTTATTTTAATGCCACCCGCTAACTACATTTGTCCACAGTACCTCGCGTCGTCGGAATGGCAAACAGGCCTCCTGCGAGCCATGTCGCAGAGACAAAGTCCGCTGCGACCATGCATTACCTGTATGTACTCGCTGTAGAGATCGTGGGATCTCCACGCGATGTTACTATCACCCTGCTCCCCTGACGAGGACCAAGGGTCGTCGTATCTTCCCATTGGCAGAGGGAGTTCCATTTGATCGACCTCCATCAGCAAGGTGTGTCAATTGTAAAATCACTTTTTTGATATTATTTTCAAGCGGTCTACATCATTGAGTTCCCAGTGGTCAATTACCGCTCCCAGTCCACTTCCGTAGCTATATCCATATATATACATGTCAGGCTCTTATGATTGCTGTTTCCCAGGAACCCTCATTCAAGCGAGACATCACTCGACCCCGACGTGTCTAATCCGGGACAAGAGAGCTCTTCTGGGCGCATAACCCGTACCCAACCACTGCTTTCTGGGTACTTCGGCCCCACGAGCTTCGTATCCCCCCTAACCGAGGATGTCGACTTGGGCTCGGAAGGCCAAAGTCTGGGCCTGGAGATCGAATCTGCCCAGAGAGTCCTGCCACCATACTGGGTCCACAAGATCTCCGAAGTTCTATTGACGCTCAACGATTTTGCCACAGTTGAGGCCCTAATCCGCGATTATTATACACACAGCCAAAGCGCGATTATCGCCGCACCATTCGTACTCAACAGCCTTGGTCCGGTCAAGTCCATGTGCAAAGAGAACATATCAGACCGTAATCTTGCGGATTTCACATCTTCACTGACAGTGAGCATAATACAAAACACGTCTGAGGTTTTCGAGGTTCCATCTGCGACACAAGGGCGAGACTTCCATACGTTATTTACGGGGCCAGCAATTCGCCTTGAGATTATTGGGCTTCTCTGCGCTCTTGCTGGTCGGGCAAGATATCTAGGGCTCGCTAATGACAGGATTGATGAGGACCGAACCTCGCGGTCTCAATATGCGCATAAGATGCTTGCAGCCAGCGATGCCGCACTACACATTTGCAAAATCCTTACACCACTCAATGACCTGACAATATGGCTGGTACATGAGAATCTTCTGTTGTCGGATATAGTACATGGCGACTCAAGTTCGTTCAGCCCAGCCAATCCATCCCTCGCCTTGCCTTTCTTAACACACTTTAGGCCCCGCCTGTTGGAAGCGACTAGGCGAGCTTTCCACCGACATCTTCGCGCTTGGTCTCCACCGTGACTCCAAAACTTCGAGCGATATACCCGAGTTTCTCTTGGAGTCACGTAGACGGCAATTCGCTGCAGCGTATCAGCTCGATAAGAGCATCGCCACATTCTTAGGTCGACCGCCAAGAATACCATGGCGATACGCCGATTGTCGCATGCCTCTTGATATAAGCGATGAGGCACTCGCTACCGATAACATGGTCCTAAATTACTCTCACGACTATATTGATGAGAATGGCTGGAGTCGTCACGGAGTAGTCCAGCGGTCATCATGGATACGAGTGCGATTTATCATCAGTACATTTCGGGATGAGATTCTCGAGGTCTCTTTGCAGAACGTGACACCCGAGATGGAAAATATGCTCAAGTAAATCATCCCTTTCTTCCTACATTATATTCAGCAGCTGATCCCATACAGGAATATCTCGCAGCGATGTCATCTAGCATGGGACTCTCTCCCCAATTGGCTACGTTACAGCCCACAATGTTGGGAACAAAATTTACACATAGCAGTGTGCCTCATGATGATCATTTCATATCTGGCATACCTGTACAACGACTTCCTCATCCAGCGACTCATCGCCGGGAAGAATAACCCGCGCGGAAACACAGCACTGCTTTCCGTGAGTGCTGACATATTATCAACGGTCCTGACATTAGGCATGCAACGCGAACAAATGGTCGATCTCCGGCCAGATTTTGCGTGGACGGTAAGTACTATCAAGAGAAAACCTCCTTATACCCATTTTAATACTAAGTAAATGGCAGGTCCTACTCTACGGCTTCCCCAGCGCCAGTCTACTCATCAAAGCCCTGCAGCACCAAAAACGCACAGGCGAGCCATTCCTCTACGAAGGGTCGAGATCGGCACTTATCCGCAATTTAAGTGTCTTCATTTCGCATCTCGAATCTATCGTTCGGCCAGATAATGCCAACTACGCTCTCTTTCAACGGGCCAGTCAGCTGTTCTCCAGGATTATTGATGAGATTCTGGAGCCGCAGTCAATTCTTCCGGACTCGAATCTTGGGGATACTTCTGCTTTTGAATTTGATCCGATGATTGAGGTTGATGGCCTGGATTTGTTTAATAACATGGATTTTGGAGTTGCATTTAATCAGTGGTTGTTTTAAGAGACAGTGGGGGTTTTTCTGTGTCGCAGTGGTTTCATATATATAGTCGTGACAGAAGGGCTTTGTGGATAGACCGATCAAACTGCACGTCTGCTTCTGTAAATCTGCCTCCGTCAAAGGGTACTCATCAACGTTATGGGTATGGTTGAACCTACCAGAATAAGAAAAACAAACAGGAGCGCATACTACGCCATCAATGATCCCGCGAGAGACATCACTTCATAAACGAAGTCATCAGCTTCTCTTGGTCTCGTTCACTGCCGCCGTCTTGGGCTGGGCTGTATGGTCCTCACGCACTGGGGACGGAGTAGAATATCCCTGCGGAGCATGAACTCTCAATCGATTTAATGATTAGCAAGAGGCCGAGCCACGAGAAGAAGACAGAACCAGGCTCAAAAGTGAGATCCCACTTGTATAATGACAATTTGTCTGATCAACAGTACTAGTATCTACCCGAGAACCCTGAGCCGCCGACGTACCCCACGAATTCAATGCAGCCCGAGGAACTGCAGCTGGAGTCTAAGTTGCTGTAGGCAATGGTGGTTGTGACGATAGGCGGGTGAACGGTATCCTCTGCGTGTTTCAACTTCACGTCGATTGTTACATTGAAATTATTGCTAAACTCCCGAGGTCTCCATCTGAGCAGAAAGCTGATTCCATGACAAGATGAGGAAGATGCGAGAGAACCTGAATACATAAAAGATTAATAGGTGCCGGGGGAACGACCCACAGGAAGAGTTCGTGAGACGAAAAGAAGAAAAGAAAACAATCTACAAACAGGTTGAGATGAAAAAAGAAACGGTGTTTTTTTTAAAAAAAATAGCAACTGACTTCCTTGACTTGAAGCCAGCCTCTGCTTTTGGCATATCTGACAAATACAGGCCAGGAGAAGTGAAATGGGCTGTAGGGGCAGCCATGCGCGCAAATAGGTATCTGATTTCCCCTCATCCCCATTGGCCCGCGGGAAAAAAAAAAAGAAGAGATTTCGTCACTCTTCAAAGCATGAAACGTGAAATGATTTGTTCAAACCAGAATGTTGAGATTGAAGAAAGGTGTCACTGCATGTTGTACGACATTGACACCGGGGTTTGGTACACTTAATTGCTCCGGACAAAGTCGGCCTGAGCTCGGGTATTCTTGATAGTCTTCTTAATCATTTCCTCCACTTCATCCCAGTCGCTAGTATCAATGCGGTCGATGACGCACTGGAAGTGCTCTTGTATCTTGCGTAGCATCTCCCACTCATTGCGGTTAGAAACAAATGAGATTGCCACGCCAATGCGACCAAAGCGACCAGTACGACCGATGCGGTGCAGATAGGTTTGGAAGTCGGGTGTGTTGGTGCGCTGACCGGAAGAGTACTCCTCGGGGATATCCTGAAGGCAAGAAAGGTTAGTTTTAAATGTAAAAGCGGACAAACAATAAACTCACGTAGTTTACGACCAAGGAAACTGTAGAGACATCGATTCCACGAGCGAGAACGTTGGTCGTGATGAGAACCTTAGCATCACCGCTGCGGAAGGAATCAATCACCGCGTCACGCTGGGATCCCTCGACACCACCAGTCAGCGAGGCGACAGTGTGACCCTCAGCAACCATACGCTTCTCGATTTCAACGGCAGAGGCACGGGTCTATACGGCGATCAGCAATATTCCAATCCTGATCTTCTGGGATGATACTTACCCTAACGAAAATGATTGAGGATCCGACAGTGAGGAGTCCATAGAGCTGGACGAGGTTCTGATACTTCTCCTCATCAGTGCTGCAGTCCATGTAAAGTTGTTTGATGCCCTCAACGGTCAACTCCTCGTGTTGGAGGGTAATCTCGTTTGCGGCAGGAGCAAACTTGCCCGCATAGCGGTAGACGTGAGCGGGGAAGGTGGCCGAAAACAGGACGATTTGAACATTTCGGGGAAGCATCCTACCCAGGGTGAACGATTAGCCGAAAGCTTTGAGTGCTAGGGGCTGGAAGGTACTTACGCCTTGGCCCGAATGCACTGGTCTCCCAGGCCTTGCTGGTCAAGCATGTTATCCGCCTCATCCAGCACAAGCACCTTCAAGCCGGTAGGGTTCATGATACGCTTCTTGATCATATCTTGAACAGTACCAGGTGTGCCAACCACAACTGAGCAATCCATCTTCGACGGGCGAGCATTGGAATCGGCAGGAACAGCAGTGCCGATAACGAGACCTTCAAGGAACTGACCCATAATTTGGATCACACCGACAATCTGGCGAGCCAATTCACGGGTGGGAGCGAGGATCAGGGCTTGAGGCGTCTTCTGCAACTCCTCTGTTGAGAGGTCGAGACGACTGAGGATATTGAGGACAAAGGCTGCGGTTTTGCCGGTACCGGACTGCGACTGACCAACCAAATTCTTCGGAGGGTTGCTCATCAGAAGAGGAAGAGCGCGCTCCTGTACCTTGGATGGCTTGCGGAAGTTCATAGTCGAGAGACCTTTCAGAATGCGCGCATCTCTGGAGTGTCAATCAAGTTAGCTGTGAGACGCTCACTTGAACAGCGTACCAGTCAGTAGCACTTACAGGCCCAAATCTTCAAAGCTTTTGACTGAGAACAGGGGGTTATTGGGGTCGGCCTGCAAGTCACTCAATTTCACCGCGACAGTGTAGTCGGGCTCCTCGAGATCTGCCGAGCCCTGCGCGGGGGCAGAGGCTCCGTCCTCCTTGGGTGTAGCGGAGACATTGGAGGTATCTGTGAAAGTAAAGAAAAAAAATATTAGCTATCAGACGGGGTAGCGCGCGTTTTCCGGTCGTGTGGACTGGAGGAATCAGCGACAGTGGCGTGGTCTCGTTTCGTACCGGTGGGCTTCGACTCGTCAGGTTTGGTGACACGGTCAGCCAAGGAGCCCGCAACAGGGGTGGTCTCTAGATTATCAGACATTGTGTAAAAGTCTGGTGGAGATCTTAGAAAACCAGGAGTTGGAGAAGGGAGGAGAGGTGGAGGGGTGGTCGTGGGGTAAAGAAAAGTTCGAAATGAAATAAGGTTGCTGAGCCCACGATTGGGGGTTAAGATGGCGCCAACTGAGGATAACTTTAGTTAGGACTCAGGGGGAATGGAGGAAATCAGAAATCCAAGCACCAAGGAGAGAAGAGCAATAGCCAAAGAAAACAATAGCTCTCTGAATGGAAGAGCAAAAACAGATGACGCCGAAGGATAGGAACTAGTCCAAATTGAGTCAAAGTGAAATAAATGTAATGGTATTGTAATATATGGGCAAGACACATACATTAAATATTAACTACCAGCAACGTGTATGTTTGGTACTGTCACAGGGACCGGCCTTCTCCCCGCCTTGGCCATTGAGCTCATTCTTCCTGTCTGAATAGCCTCAATAGCCCATTGATCACTGCCTAATTGGAGACATTGACTACTTTGATTGATACCAAGACAAGTGGCTCATTGACGAGCAACGCTGACACCAGGCAATCCCGTCTCATTGTTCGGTCTTCCATTCCCGCGCTGTCCCATGCGCGTCTGCCTAGGAATCTCAATCCAGCCATGGCGGCCGCAGACGTTGCTCCCCAATTCGGAGCAGAGTTAAAGGTATGCATACTGGATGGTGATGGTCGCAGATGCATAACTAACTGGATTAACTTATCTAGGATTCCTTTAAACCAGTTAACAGTTGGGTATGGTCCCGACATCGTTTCCCCGCAACCGACCCGTCAGATCACCCTGTGCGCTTGAAGTGGAGCTAATGCAAACATGTTACACAGGTATCAAATGGTATATCATGGGTAGACGAGATACACCAATTCTACCGCGAACGCAGCGCCATTGAGAAGGAATACGCATCCAAGTTAACGGCCCTGTGCAAGAAGTACTACGACCGCAAGTCGAAGAAGATCAGCCCCTTGAGTGTAGGCGACACACCCACCTTAACCCCCGGCTCTCTCGAAAGCGCATCGCTCACTACATGGACTACACAATTGAACGCGGTGGAATCTCACGCCGCCGAACGAGACAAGTTTGCCTCCGAATTGGTAGTGCAAGTGGCGGATCCTCTGAAACAAGCTGCCACCCAATATGAAGAGATTCGCAAATGCCACGTTGAATATCATGGAAAGCTAGAAAAGGAACGGGAGGCAGCATATGTTGATCTCAAAAAAGCGAAGGGCAAATACGATGGCGCATGCCAGGAGGTTGAATCTCGCAGAAAGAAAATGGAGTCCGCCTTTGATCATGGCAAGGGCAAAGCACAAACAGCATATCAACAACAAATACTGGAGATGAACAACTATAAGGCATGGCCCATTCAACTAAGAACTTCGTGTCCTGATGCTAACTTGCGGGTAGAACCTCTATCTCATCGGCATCAACGTGACAAATAAGCTCAAGGAGAAATTTTACCATGAATATGTCCCTGAGGTGATCGATGTAAGATGAACCCGCCACTCCCCATATCTTGAATCAACGATGGTACTCATACTTCCGGCCAGGGTTTACAAAACCTCAATGAAACGCGAGTCGCAAAAATGAACTTGATGTGGTCGCTCGCGGCCCAACTTGAAAAATCATCTCTTTCAAATAGCACGGAGCACATAACCAATCTTCTTACCGAAATTCCTCGCAACAACCCGCGTCTGGACTCCTTGATGTTCCTCCAGCACAATGTCACTCAATCGCAGGAACCTGCCAACCTAGCATTTGAGCCGAGTCCCGTATGGCACGACGATGCTTCAATCGTCGCTGATGAGGCAGCCAAGGTCTTCCTGCGCAACGTCCTGAGTAAAAGCAAAACCCAAATCCGCGAACTGCGAGTCGAATCAGACCGGAAGAAGCGTGAGGTTGAAGGAATCAAGAAAGTACGGGAAAACATTCAACAGGGCAAGGATAATCGAAACGAGTTAGAGGTCGTGCGGTCCATTTTCTACATTCAAGAATCCTTGCACGAGGTTGATCGCAAATGGGTTACAGCCGAGGTAGAAACGGCGAATATCATGGCAGTGGCTGGAGATTTATCGCTGGGAGCCCAGAATCACAATTTCCGCTCTCAGACATTCAAGATCCCGACAAATTGCGATCTTTGCGGCGAGCGAATTTGGGGCCTGTCCGCCAAGGGCTTCGATTGTCGAGATTGTGGCTACACCTGCCATAGTAAATGCCAAATGAAGGTGCCCGCGGAGTGCCCAGGCGAGCAAACCAAGGAAGACAAGAAGAAACTCAAGGTCTTGCGACAGGAACAGGCTGGTGCCATTCCTGTTGTGGATGTCGGCAGCCCTACAGCTTCCACTGCTGCCCCGTCCCTGACGCGACAAAATACAATGAACTCTCTTAGCTCAGGATATGCGGCCAGTACGGCTCGGTCGGTATCGAACATTGCTACTCAGCCCACACCAGAAACCCCAGCAGAGGAGCCTCCAGCCCCCATTGCAGAGACAAAGCCAGCTACCGCTGCCGCAAAGAGGAACCGGGTGCTAGCACCACCTCCGACAGCATACATGACTGCGCCTCCGCCGAACGACTCTAGCATGGGCTCGAGATCCAAAGAGCCACGAAGTAAGATGCTGTACGCGTATCAAGCCACCGGCTCAGATGAGGTCAGCGTGGAAGATGGGGAAGAAGTGGTGATCCTCCAACCAGATGGTACGTCCTCTTGTCCTATCGTTTACACCCAATATTTACTAACAATTCCACAGATGGTTCTGGATGGCTGCGTGTGCGCTCGGGAGGCAACGAAGGACTTGTTCCAGCCGCATATGTCGAAGCTGCCCCAACACCATCTCCCGTACCATCCGCTAGTCCCGGTATGCCTGAGCGACCTGGGTCAACGTACTCAAATTCCTCGGCATCCTTGGCGGGAAGCGCTGCGCCGAAGCGTGTTGGACCAGCTGTCGCTCCCAGACGAGGAGCCAAGAAATTGCAATATGTCGAGGCATTGTACGAGTACGAAGCTCGCAGCGATATGGAGTGGAATATGGCAGAGGGTGACCGCTTTGTTCTAATCAACCGGGATAGTGGTGATGGATGGGCCGACGTCGAACGGGGTGGTGTTACGAAGAGCGTTCCAGCAAACTACATCCAGGAGGTGTAGGTTGGGACATCTAGCTTGTACGCACTGGCCTGACATACATTTTTCAGAACGGTTGATGCCTGTCTGTTTATGTGGCCTCATAAGGTCCAGGTCTGCTTTCTGTTGATTTTTGTTCATTCTCCTGTATAGTCGGCGTCATCAGTGCCGTTGCCGTCGTTATTTTACATATCAGCAAGGAGCATTGGGGGCAGTTGTTCTTGGCATCCATTCGCGAGTCTCGGATAGAGCATAGGACACGTTGTTTCCATTGAATCCCCATGAACGTTAGAACTGTTCCTGTGGTAGGTAGCAATGTAGATGCATTAGAAGATATCACAAACAGCACCCGAACCAATGCTTCCGCTCTTCCATTTTTGTATATATACGTCTTCAGCCTCTTCAACGAAATAAAATCATAATCATCAATCATCATGCGAGTTGTTGACCAGGTTCGCCGCCCGGACCCCTCCTGTTATTGCGACACAGGTGGAAATCCGGTATCTAAATGCTCAAACCCTGTCTCAGCCGACCACATATACCTAGACCAATCCTCCACATGGAACACTTCCTCCATAGCCGGCATCTCTAAATCCATATTCATGTCGACCTCATTCAAATATCCCAATGTGCTATCGCCCAATTCCAGCCTAGGGTCCAGCGAGAAGTCAAAGGGGTTCACTCCTTCGAGCGGACTAACCATGGGCATCGTCTGCGCGACCTGAGAACCCGAAACAGCCAGCGTAGAAGGCTGGAGAGAATATGCAGGATCGAACAAGGCAGCAGCTGTAGCCTCAGCCTCTGAGGAAACGGGATACTCATACAGCGAGCCTGGCGCGGAATGTGAATGGGAGCCACCCTGCCCTGCGCTGAGTGCCTGACTCGAGTCCAAAACCGGCATCGCTGACCCAGAGAAAGACACAGTATGCCTATACGGCTCAGTCCTAGATATCGAGCCTTCTGAGCCCGACCAATCTCCTGCTCGGCCCGCATCATGGTATATAGGGGTATTCGCCGGCGACGAAGCCGATGAGTTCGAGCAGCCCGACTTTGACCCGGACCTAGACTTCGACTTTGTCACAGCTGGTGAGAGAGACTTCCCGCCCACCGACCCCGAAATCGACCCCGACGGGCCCGGACGAGGGGCAATGGGAAGGAAACCGTTCGGATTATGCCGCGGATGGAGTCTTCCGTGGCTCGAGGCTTTCTAGAAAAAGAGCAAACACCAATCAGTACCATGGCGTTTGCAATTTTTCTTCTTCCACATGCCGAAGATATGGCTTCCGGTTGGCTGTGTTTTGTGTTTGCGTTACTTTTGAAGGACATTTGAGCTCTGCGTCACGTTTTGCGCGCGCGTGCTCGATTGGAGATGTGCAGGGCGTCGCATTGCACATTGTACATGTTGCGAAAGGCCGGCCTTTGCGCTTGATGCGAATCAATGGACGATCTAGGTGTGGTTTTGTCAAGGTCAGTTTTTAAGAGCTTTATGGGTTAGAGCAATGGAGGCGTTGGAGAGTATGCGGTTTTTGTATACCAGCGAGGTATGGGGAAGAAAAGAAAATTTCGCCAGCTATTTAGGTACTAACCATGATGTTTGCAGCTGGTTACACGGTGGCCCCGTATACAAGCTTCACACGCCCACTTTTGACCGTCGATAAGCATTCCTCGTTAAGATGAGAGGTCCTCATGGTGCGTGGACGGGGACCAGCTTATATACTATTTTCTACGATCGTCCCGTGGTAAGGTAGGACTGAGGGGTCAACCGGGATATTGAGAGCTATGATGACACAGGAACGGTAAAAAATTTCTTTTTTTCTTTCTATTACATTTTCTATTACCTCGGAATAGACATGTTTCTGTGTGTCGCGAGAAATCAACCCTATGATTCGACATGTAACCACAGCCACAGGATCGACTAGGACTGGCTCGTGCATTCAGAGGGTTCTGTACTTTGTGGCTTTGTGGCTCTTTCGGGTGTTTTTTTTCTTATTTTGATGCATTTTGACTGGAGCTTGGGCCATAGTTTCATACTACTATGCGGTACTTTTGTCCCGGACGTGGGTCTCCGACAGAAAATACTCAAAAGGGTAAAACGGCTAGAAAGTACATACATGTGCTATATAGCCTTTAGGGGTGGGAAATCAGTACTCCGTAAGGAGTACCGTATATAGCTATGAGGGATTTTCATACCTAGGTAGCCTGGAGAAGTTCAACTGTGATAAATTGATAAAATGAACCGGGAAAATCTCCAATTTCCCAATTTCCCCCAACACCAAAATACTACCCTCTTAGAAATGCCTCATACATTTCTTTTAATATACCTTTTCTTTTTTTCACATGGAACCTTTTTTACTCGGCAATCGAGACGCCCGTTCCACCATGGGGCTGGTGAAATCGTGGTTATCACGCCAAGCGTAGAGAAGAGAGACCAGGGTCTGCATCTGGAGGTGGCTGTGTTGTTTTAGGGCATACCATTTCCCATCAGCCGCAGTAGCCTGGGAATGTTTCATATCTTCTTTCTGTCTATCTCGGTGAATTGTATACTCCAAACCTTCAATTTCTTAAATTTCATCAATTTAGTCAATTTCGTCGATTTCCTCAATTTCCTCACTTTTCATCGTTTTCATCCTTTTTCCCCTTGGCCAAAAAGATACAGAAAAAGAAAAAACAAGCTCTCTCTCACTTGTCACCTCCCACACCAATCATAACGGCCCAAAAGCCGGATCTCACCGACTGCCCCGCAGTATGCGCCATTTATATAAACCTGAGGCATTTTTCCTTTCCACTTGTTTCCTCAAAAGCGGGATTCCTTCATTTGAAAATAATTCTGTCGCCTGTTGGGTCACACGGGACAACGAATGTGCGTTGTCCTTGTCTTTTTCTCCTTTTTGTGCAACTGGAAATCGCCTATTTCGTCTGAGGAAAAAAGGAAACAGAAAAAGTTGGACTCCAGCATTCAAGGGGTAGCCTCTTCAAACATCTCTGATTCCACGTCAAGGCTTTGAGCGGGCTATATTCATCTCGGACCTCGGGATAATGATTGTCTTCCCACTGATCTCCAGATGCATCGACCAGTTAGGAAACGGTTCACAGATATTTGAAATTTCATAACCGATCCTCCAAATGCCTGGAAGGCGAGCATATTTCAAGATAAGAGTTCGGCCAGCCTTGGTTACCTCGACTGTACCAATATGCCTGCGATCGCTCGTGTGTCATTTGGAATTCGCGTTAACTCGATCCCTGCAGGTTAGCGTATCAAGAGAATATTATACTGAGAGTCTCAAGAAGACCAGCGCAAGGTGCGGACACGACTATTTATATTAGTATCCCAGCATTCCCCTGGGAACGAGCAATATTGTCTACATTACAAGGATTGCTTGGGATGTGTGTGCAGGAAGAGCACCCTGTTCGCTGGGTTATATGGCTCATATCAATATCTCTCCCGCCCCCTGGTTCAGATCGGAGATTATATGGCGGTGATAATACCCTCTTCGGGTCTGTCGTTTCACCGCATAGTTGCTACTAAAGCCTAGTTACACCGACTATTTAACCAATGTAGAGTTAGCATCTCACACAAGCATTAACGCATATCTCAACATCTCGGTTTGGGTCCCGTGTTTCTCTCGATTCCGTACAAATCACATTCATCCTTATCTCACACAATGCTGACCAGGACCTTTCAGGGTATAAGGTTGGCCGAGGTCTGAACCCAGAAACTATATCCCGGACAAATGAGGTATAAGCCCGCATATCTTTGTTCTCATTTCACATGCACAAAATTCAGGTTGCACGGACACCATGCTCTATCGACCTTTCCTGTCCCCACAATAATAGGAGTCAGTTCACGCAGGATGGACATCTTGTGTGGCACATTCTTTATATCCACAAATATAATTGCCTGCCAGACAGCCCTTTGGTCTGATGACATCTGAATTACATTTGCCTCATCCAGTGAACATTGCCAAAGTACCACTGTTTCTCTTCTCGCACCTAACTCCAGCACCGCAAATACGTAAAAAGCACAACAAGTATTCCATTTATCTATTCATACTTCCACAGGTGACTGCACCCACTGTCTGGTCTTAGGATCGAGACACTCTTTCTCCGCCTGTTTCCACTCGCTCATGACCAAATCCGCCCTCTCCTTTGATCTTGGCGTAATCCTCGCCGGGAACTCTTCAGGCATACATACAAACCCTTGCGTCAAGCGATCAGGATCAGGTAAAATCGGAATTCCCGCAGCATCAGTTTCCGGCGTGATATTGAACGCCCACAGAATGCGCGACATGCCAAGGAACAGACTGCGCTCGGCAACGTGGATGCCGGGACATATACGACGGCCCGCACCGAAGGTGAACACATCCCGCTTTGACGGATCGGGATTTGCCGCTGCCTCTCCGAAGCTTTGGTAGTCGTCGTGGTACCGATCGGGATTGAATGTTCGCGGGCTGGGATGACGAGCTGGGTCCATGTGGATGCCCCAGACGTTGTTCATCACGCCAGCGCCCTTTGGTATAAAGTACCCTTTGTACTCGTCGTCTTGTGTGACAGCGTGTGGAACAGCTCCAAGGATGGTTGTCGGCATCCATCGGACTGTTTCTTTCATGCAGCCCCTTACATACTGTAGTTCCGACAGGTCGTCCATGATGGGTAGGCGACCCGAACCTACCACCCTTTCGATCTCTTCTTGGGCTCTGCGCTGAACATCTGGGAACAGTAGCATGGCTTGAACGAAGGCGTATAATGTGCTTGATGTAGTGTCTGAGCCGGCTTCCAGGAGAGTTCCAGAGATGTAAGCTGCTTGATCGTCGCTGAAACCGTCTTCTTTCTGCGCCTTGTACATTCCTGCGCAGAAGCATGGCTTGATTGTGTTCTGTTGAACCTCTTCCTTTGCTCGCAACCAATGGCTCAGATACAACGCTTTCTCGTTTTTGTGGAGGTCTTTTGCTTTCTGTTGTGCTGGGAGAAGAAATTCGGGTAGTTTCCGCAACCACGGGAAGAAGTCAATGATCGCTGCTGTTCCGGTCTGGTTAAGATCTGCAAATTCCGAGAAGCCGTTGAACAATTGCATCATTTTCTCGTCTTCGTATGTAGGCGTGCGCCATCCGAAAACCATTGTGGTCGTAAGGGCGTTGGAGTATCGTCGAATGTGTTTCAGGAATCCTTCTGGCTCTGTCAGAAGCTGATATAGCATTTGCCGATTCTCCAACATTTGGTAGGGTAGATATTTCTTGGATGTCGTAACGTTGAGCAAGCCATGCACCATTTTGCGAAACTAGATTCAAGTTAGCACAAATACCGCAACGGTTACCAGTCATGCCTACCCCGCGCCATGTTGGTCCATAGCCCTAAAGATGGAGGAATTGGTTAGCTACAAGATGCATCCGAAAATCATTTTACTTAGCTTCACGGCTTACCATCATCAACATTCTGAGGTCACCGCTGCACAGAATCTGGCCAATATACAGCTCTGGCCGGTGCGAATATATACCACTTCTTTTATCCAAAAGCTCTTTGACCGCCTCATCACTGGACAGCACAATCAGACACTTGGTGCCTAGCATCAAACTGTAGATTGGGCCATATTCACGTGCCCATTTTTCAAATTGAAGATGAGCATCTTGAGAGGGCATCTAAAGGCGACAAGTTAGTTCTCAGTCGCTCATTTGGATGCAACTTATCGCATACTTGATGAATGTTCCCCAAAATGGGCCATGTTGGAGGACCCGGGGGGTAGTTCTTTGGTCGACGTCCGATTCTGAGAACGCGCGAAAGAAGCAGAACAGCAATAGCTGCTCCTAGTACCACGGTAATTGGCAACATTTCGGATATTTTGGGGTTGATTTCACAGCCGAGTGAATCGTCAAAGCTACACTCCTAAAAAAAGAATTGACATTGCGATTATAGTACTAGATATATCCCTTTATATATAAATGGTGTTGCTTGGACCCGTATTTTCGTGTTCTAGCATGGCTCAACCTCAGTATACTTGTCGATCTCGGAGGTCGGAGTGGGTTGTGTGTATACTTGCGGATGCGGAGGTGGGCGTCGGAGTGCATGTGGGGGAATATCTTCACCGAAATACATTGCCTCCACTGGTTCAATAGTCATAGCAGCCTATCATTGTAAACCAATTTGTTAGTGAAATGCCGTCGAAAAGGAGTTATGCCAATGTTGAAAGTCCGAATTGGAATGGAAGTTATCCAATGACTAGCGGCAAAGAATTTTCATGCTTTACAACGACCTGCTTGCGTATTTCCGCTATATTCTTTGCCTCGCATATCAATGTACTGTCCCCGAGCAAGCGACTTCACTCGTCTGCACTCATCTATTAACATGTGACAGAATCGCGGCATCAAGTATCCTGTTTATCGCGAGAGACGTCTCCGCCTTCCCCGAATTTAACAGTAATATACCCGAGAATCCCCCTCTGACTTCTCCGGTTCTTTGCTGTTGGATTCATCTAGGACGGAGACCTTGTCTCGACCTCCTTAGTTGTAGGGGCAGCCGGTAGCCTCGCGGGGGTGCCTATGCCCAAGGGCCCGACTTTATCGATATTGTGCTTGGAGCCGAATCCCCCATTGGTATTGTCCTTATCCTTGCTTTTGTTCTCGGAGCTGGTATTGACGTTACTGGCGGCGGACTAAGAGGCTAGAGATAGACACTGTTCGTTAGTATAGGTATCTATTTTACCGTAAATCTGCACATATCTCTCATTAGCACAACTGACATAATAAGGGAGAACAAATCAGGTTTCATATACTGAATGGCCCACACAACAAAACACAGGATCAGAACCAGGCCAACAAGGCCGACGCAGGCACCGATCGTGGAGGCTTCCCAGTCATTAGGCCCCCCAGAGCCCTCACCGCCATGTTCGGGGCTTTCAAAATGGTCAGGTATTCTTTCTATACATAGGCTTGTTGTGGCTACCTGCATAAAAACCGACTGTATTCCTGTACACCATTCCATATTTTTGGTATGTGATCACAGTGATTCCAGTTAGCCATACCGTGTGCCTATTCGGTATCCAGGCAATATCTCACCAACTTATATATAGAATCCAATCCATGATCTTCAATCAGCCTTGTATGCCTAAGCCACTGGGAAATAACCTTGGAAGACAATGCCAAGTACAAAGTAGAGACCTAGTGCACTGAAAATAGCTGCGAAATACATAGATCCATTTTGGCAGCCTGGGGCTGTGAATTCGAAAATCAACTCAATCCCAAAATACTTTCCAAGTGATGTGGATGTATAATCGTACGAGAAGAAATAAGGTAGTTTTGACTTGATGTGATTTGCTTACGCCTCCCGGTGGATCTCTTGGCGTGTCAGCAGCTTGCATCATGATCGACCTTAGAATCCTGTTGCCTTCCCAAATGACTGCACCTTAATTCTGGCCAGTATTAAGGATCGATCAACATTGCGGAGAATGGCAGTTTCTGGGCTTTGTGGATTGCTGGGTAAAACCTATGTAAGTACATGGTTGTAGATATATGCAAGCTTGCCAGTTGACCGAGGTCCGGGGTGCTATGGAGGTATGATATAAGGGAGAAGGCAAAGCTTGTGTTCTGTAACTTCCTTACACTTCAAAATGTTCTCTTCTCGTAAGACACGTCTTCGTTATAACTTGAAAGTAATCCAACTCCGATAAATAGGGCTTAACTCCGTGCCAAGACCACTCAGCCACGCTATTCGTTATCATCCAATAAGCGCCAAGAGGTCATCCTCATGGTCAAACCTTGGAATCTACAAGCAAATCTAAATCTAACTTCAGCCTACTAAGTTAGATCAAAACTCAAAATAACCTTGGAAAGCTCTATATAACAAACTAACACCCCACAACCGTTTTCTCGGATCACTTGGGCACTTATCCATTACAAAGTTGAAGTGACTTCGAACCCTTCGACCACCCCTTGTTTTACCGAAAATCAGAATGCTCTTTCGGCCATTATATACCACATTCTTTGTCCTCCTCCTTAGCTTTCTGGCTACAGGCGCGACAATAGGCGTTCGGTCTGTGCGAATTTCCGAGCCTGACAACACCCTCGAAGCTACGACTCAGACGATAGTACAATCGCAACCAAACCACGACGCAGCATCAGTAGCTGCTCTTCCCCCGAGATCCGAACACGAAGATCATGACACGATACCAGGGCTCCACAAAACAACAATCGACTGGAGGGAGGATGGGTCTGAGTCTCTCAGACTAGAATCAGAACGTGAGGCCGGGTTTCTTCCGAGTTCCTATCATGAGAGGTAAATGTTGCATCCTGTTGTGATCGGCTAGTTACTAACAAAATCTGCCAGTGATGACCCATTACCGCAGTTTTGGCCTTTGGTCAAAATCTGTATCGTTTCAGCAATAGCAATTTGTGTTCTCAAAATAATCCGGGACTTGAAGAGATAGCAATACACGAAAACAAAGCATGACATTCATTCATTTGTTGTAGTGAGATATTGTAATTGTACAGCGGAGCCGGCTTTTATATCTGGAATGTCTGAAAGCCCATAATCAGATCATTAATCTGGCGCATACTAGTTTGATCATATCGATTCAGGATTGGGTCCAGCGGGCCCTCGTCAAGCGGCTCCAACTCATTCTCTGGCCTAGATGTGCCAAGTACTGCCAATCGATCTGCCATCAGGTGGGCTAGAAGCCAGTACTCCGGGGCATAGCGGAAAAATCCCATTCGTCTCCAGAGCTCGTCTGGCTGAATGTGAGAGTCTTCGATTGTCATGTGTGGCATGATTCCTTGGGGGAATGTCGACGAGAACAAGTGCCAGATATCTCGCCAGTTGCTGAGCGCATTTTGTATCGGGGCTCGGAGTTGGAAGCTGCCAACCGCGCTGCGGAATTGGAAGATTTGTGAATGAATTGCTAACGGATACAGTATTAACAAAGTTGGATTGTAGGGGCTCACATGCTAGCTTACCTGATGTTAATGCGAATAAATTCAATGGACCCAGGGTAGCGAGGAGGTGGCGGATATTGACCGATAGATCGTCTTTACATATGGACTCGAATGACCCACGGAACGAGATCGTCCAGTAAAGACTTCTTGCCGGCAGGAAGAGTTGAAGTTGGTGGTGACATTGGTCTGCCGTTGTTGCTTGGAAGCAAGCTTCTGGTGTTGCCATATGCATCCTCATTTCTTTGATGACCATCCGTGGAGGAAGGTTGTTAAAAATGACGAATGCTGAGTCTAGTAAAAAGATCCAAGTGAACAGACTATGGTTTAGGACTATTAGTGGCTATTGCTTCAAGCACAATATTGAGACATACCGGATGAGTTCCTCCCTAGCTGCATATTCTTTCCATTCGAACTCATGGCGGCCTTGCTCGCTGTAGTTCAGATGTCTCGCCGCCGTAATACCAATATCACGAGCAGTCTACAATAAATTAATAGACTGGTGAGATACGGACTGGAAGGTATACACTTACAGATACCAGAGTAGCAAAACGGTAACGTCGAATGCGACTCTTGCTCGCATCCGTGCCCTCCCAATTCTGATAGAGACAGACTATATAGGCAGCCTGTACAGCCTGGATCTTGCGTCTTTGGATGACCATGTTATCAGAAGATTGGTATGTCAAATCACTGTTGAAATCGTCGTCAATGAAAACCATTTCTTCCACACAGTTGAACCAGGTTCGTGCATCTTCGTTGTCAGGCATATCAGGTGATACACAGGCACCTTTCCAATAATTAGCATTTACCAAACCCTATAATAGGAGATTGTCTCACCAATCAGAGCCATTGCAGCTAGTACTGTTGGCTTCGCTGCCAGCATGTCGAAGGTAGGTCGATGCACAAAGTTCACATTAGGATGCCATATTGCCCAGTAGAACCCCAGAAACCTTCTTATATTCGAAGGAGAGAAGAATTGCAGACATGCATCTCTGAGTGCTGATGACCAGTCCAAGGTGACAGAACTGTTGCGCGGTTTGATCGTGACCACTTCTTCAATTAAGAGAAGAATCTCGTGTGTCTTCAAGGAAAGTGGATCATTGAACCACTCCAGTGGTAAGTCGCTGGTTGAACTTGTATCACTGTTATTTTCCAGTATCAAAGGAGATGGAACATCCATGCCCAAGGGCGGCATTGACACTATTCTCTGCTGTAGCTGAGACAAGATTTGCTGGTCTAAGCTGGCAGCAACTTGTTCTCTTTGCTCGTGGGTGCCGCAATCAAAGCTTGACACTAGACCTGTATTGCTAGTAAATTTGTCTAGAAAGTGCAGCGATTTCCGGGGGCTGTCACTAGAAACAGGTGTTTCGAAAGTTGCCGGGCTCTCGGAAGCTAATGCCGAAAAGTCTGGCCAAATTGGACTGGTGCATTGCATAGAAGATGGATCCAAAAAGGTATTGATCGGACTTGTGCCAAAGTTTTCCAAGTCCTCCATACTGAAGCCCCACGGCATCATTGTATTCGATATCGATGGCGGTGGTGGTGGGTCCGTGAATTGAGTATTCATGTCTTGGTCTTTCGGTGTATCCTTCGTGGAGCTATTCTGGCTTGGTCGTGATAACGACCCTGTGTCTGTGGCATACCAACAATGAGCACCTCTTTTGGCGCAGCTGTGACATGGTTGATGGGAGCTGCAGGCCTTTTTCTGACGAACACAACGATCGCAAGCCCGTCTTCGAGTACTTGCTCTCGAGACGCCACCATCACAGGTCCGCAGGTGCCGCTTCAAAACATCAGCGCGCTGGAAAGCCCCGTCGCATGAATTGCATTGGTATGGTCGCTCCGACGTATGGGAACTGATGTGGCGAAACAGGTGTTCACGTCGTTTATACCGTTTGAGGCATAATGAGCACTCGTATTTCGAGGATTCTGATGTCTCAGGGGTTGCTGTTATAGAATATTCAGTTGACATATTTGAGCAAAAATTTATTCTGGTCCAAGTCCGGGGGAGTGTCTGGGGGAGTGTTCGCGGGGAGAGCAGTGGGGCGACAAAACGTTAGAGTTCTGGCGCGGATGCGTTGATCGGTAATTAGGTGTCGGTCTATGATTCTTCAATTTCTTTCGCATATGCCGACTACCTAGTGGTTCATTGCCCTCTGTTGTGTTATATGGTGTACATGATGGGTATCCCATGAGTGCTTTCTGAGACCAAAAGAACATGAGATGCGAAAAAGGGGTATAATCAAGGATACCTTCCAAGGTTATATATAGTGTCATAAACATCTATAATTCTATGCATTATCCCAATTCTACTGAAATCGATCACTATTTTTTCTCCTATTGTTCAATTTTTCGGGTCCTTCTATATATATCGTGAGGACTCTACTATTTACTTTTGATAGTACTATAATTGAAGGAAGTGTGGCGTAGGGATCGTACAGTATTCTCAGGCTAAACATATAACCTTGGCAGCAAGCCATTATCTGGGCCGACGTCATCGAGCAAGCTGGATCTAGAACATCATTATCTTATTTTGATTATTGAATATGGCCGATACTGTCCACGGGTGATCTCCTGGAAATCATCCGAGCTTGATCGACTAATATTTTATTACCCCCTGCATCCAAAACCCGTATATTGTAGGCTAGACCGAGGGGAATAGTGATAATCACAGAGTATCTTCTCCTTGCCATAAAACAGTTAAGGACTACCAATATGAAATTATTCTCTATGAGCTTATCTCAATAATCCATAGCTTATATAGCCTCTATCCTAGCATATTTCTCATTCAATTCCTTCAAGAAGAAAGAATATGTCAGGCATATTTACTCTCATCCTGGCGATGGTCCTTCCCTATCTGCCCTAGCGTCAAGATAATCAGGAGGAAGCAAAAAGCAAATATGGAAGAGAAAGATAACAAATTCACAAGGTTGCACCCCCCACCCCCCCGCGGCAAATCTGAAGACAATGTTACATGAAAACTACCCCAAAAAGCAGCCCTGGAGGGGTTAGGGAGATATTTCAAATACCGTGTGGGAGGATGGGGCAACCATATGATCGTCACGGGTCGGCCCTTAGTCTTAAAACGCCCGGTCATGGGAGTTTCCCAACCTGGCAGTAGACTCCATATATAGCAAACAAGGTTCAAATCCCGGCAGTACGTGCATACATTGTATCACCCCTGAAACTTTGTATATGGTTCTGCAGGAACAAAGAAAGCATCTCGTGCCTGAACTTTAAACCATGGCAAGATTGGAATTGCAATATCTGCCCATATATGCGAATAATTAACAATAAAGATATGGGGCTCCAAGGTTCCAGGGCTGCAATTGTAAGTGCCGTGGCTAGAACTCTATAGGCGATTGGAGCTCGCCGATCATTGCTTGCTGAGGCGATAATGTTGAGGTGATCGGCGGATACTGGGGCCCTGATGCAAGTGATCGGGTTTGGGCGTGGTTGCGCCCAAAGCCCTCCTACATCATGTGTATTGATTCTGTTCCTTTCTCCTGGGACTGCATGAGTCATGAGTGTTACCGTGGGATTGGGATTGAACCATGAGACTATGGTTCTAGAAAAAGCAAATATTCTTAGTATGCCGTCATTGCTTTAGGTGTGCCTTGCTTCCACGGTTGCATGTGGCCTTTTCCTACTCATGTGGGCAAGGGACACTGGGGCCCGATTACCTGGTAACTGCCTGATACCTAGCAGAGAAGGGGTTGTCTGGACTTGAAAGACGTGCATTTTTGGCCAAATAACATTGCCCGATATTTAAAGTTGTATAGTTAGAGTACATCCAGCTTGGGGATATTCTCAAATGGAGTAAAAAGTGGATATTATTGGTAAAAAGTGGACTGTAATTGGTCCTTTGTTCGATGTGTAGGCAACTCTGCCTTTATATACATTGACATAAAATATATGCAACAAAATAGAGTAACAAGAATAAAAATATATAGCCCCCAATTTAGGCTTATTCCCAATGTGTGCCGAAGAACTCCTCGCTGTAACGTCGCTTGCCCAAAAACCCAGTGGAAAAAAAAAGAATCAGAATCGCTTTAAGAATGAAAATCAAGATCAAACAAAGGAGAAAAAATGGACGCGAAGTCGTGCCTGTTAGGGCCTTGGTGCTGAATGTCGGTTCGAAAAAGAATAGTCTCATATAAGAGAACAATAGGATGTTGAGAAGTGAAGCGCTGGTCGTTTGCGTGTTGTTCAAGTAATTGCCAAGGGAAAGAAAGAATGAAAGAGAGACGCAGTTCATGCAGTTCGTGCAGTCGCCCGAGATCCTCGACGATGTTTTAGATCATCTCGGCTAAGGAGTCGGCGTAGTTTAGAAACAAATCGGCATGGTCGACCATCTAGGGCAATGTTAGAACAAAATGCGACCGAAGAAAAAAGAGACAGGATTAAGCTTACCACTGAAGCGATGCATGGACATGGAGGAATCATCGATAGGCTGTGTCGTGTAGGCCGCAGCCCAATATCCCGTGTCACGGTAACCGGTGAAGGTGCAGTTGCTGGGATTGTACTGTGGCTGCAGGGCCGCGACATGCGGGTAGAGGGTTGCTAACGGTGAGAGAAGCTCTTCTGGCGGGGGTGGTGACCGTCTGCTGTCGATGCTTCCTCGAGACTGGAAAAATACAAGTCAGATTGGAAAAAGTAAAGCGTGCATGGATGTTACTCACGTAGAGCTCATAGTTGGTTTTGTAACTCATGATGGGTGGTGGATGTTGCGGTGTTGGAAGTGTTGGAAGTGGTATTTTTGTATATCACATAAAATCTTGAATGCAAGATGACGACTTGACCAAGGAATCTTGGAATTCAAATCTGCTGAATGTGTTGAGATGCAGGTTTGACCAGAAGCGAACCTGCCTGCATTTAAATGAAGAGATAGAATTGCTCGACCGCAGTAATTTGGAAGCGGGGGAGATCAGACGTCAAGCTGATCCGCATCTAGTAGCCTAGTTTGATTTTTTATATTTTCATAGATAGGATTTTATTCCATCCGGGAAGTCGGGTTTTGAGGCACTCCATAAACGTAAATGGATCCTTGTCATTGGATGAGATGGAGGGGACGTCTGAGCGTCAGGGCCGATCGATCGGAGTCCCCGATGTGGACAAGTCTCTCGATACGAGGATGTAGTTTGAAGTTGGATCATCCCTGCAGATACCACGAATTGTGTCATCTCGTTCTACAGAGTACTTCCCCCCCCCCCCTTGCATGTTTTTCTTTTTCTTTCTGTCCACGTTTTTGTTTTATCCTTATTTTCCTTGGAAGAACATGTGGCACAGGGGGAAGAAACAGCAATACTCGCAGATCCCCAAATGTGATATGAGATCCACCCCCGAACAGATCCGGGATCCTACCTCTTCGGGCCAAGAACTATCAAAGATGTTTAATTCTTTTGGGGGAAGAAGTGGGCCTTGAAGTGTCAGCCATGTCGCACAGGTCACGACTAGGGACTGCTAAGCGAGTATATTAGAAGATTAAACACTAAAAAAATAGTATGGGAAACATGAGATCACTGATCTTCCGCTAGTAAGGCTTCCAAATCATTTCAGGGAGATCTAGGGCGAGATAGTCCGAGAGACTAGTCCCAAAATGTATTGAACTATTGAGACACTATGCCGTAAGAGAACTAGATCAACCATGGGGGTTGCCTGTTATAGACTAGTGGACAATTACATTGTAGGGTCGGGGCACAGCCACACACCCCTTGCTATTTGAGGATAAGCGCACGAGCCACATCCTCGGTCTCTCCGTGGCTCAAACCGTGGCTCAACGTGGCTAGTGATCATATCTGTGGCTCAAGCTCTTCGATAGCTTCCCAGATCCACCCCACCCTGCCTTCACCTCCGAAAGCCGAACTAGTCCGCCCTTGATCTTCACAACTTATCGATTTTGGGCACCCTTGATGGATCGGTCTTCCCCGTCCGCGCTCGGTCGCGGAGCTATAAGGCATTCGCCTCCCCCAGAATCATGGACTATTCCAACTCAAGTCTAAATCCACCTCCAGTTTTAAGACATTTTTACTTTACACATATTATCAACAACACATGTCGACTGTCGAACATGTCACTGAGCATGCAGGGTTCTGGAAGAGAGTGCTGGGAAAGCTCTCAGCGAATGGATATACGCGATCCTTATTCTCGCGAACAAGCAGCTCAAAGTGAGTTACTTCTTTCGTCACTTCCCCTTACCCCGGTCTTGCCTATTGCACCGGTTACACCATGACCAATATTCTGAGACTTTTTGCCCTTGTTCCAGGATCCGTCGAACGAGACGCTGAACGCATCTCCGATAGGCACGGACGCTCTCATGAAGAGGGAATGACCAATCCAGAGATTCAGTCGGTGTTGAACGACGCCGAATTTGGTCGCGTGGATCCCACGGGCTGGTTCCCACACTATAAGAATTGTGTTCAGCACTTCGTCGACTATAGCCAGCACACACCCCAAGTGCAGTCCATTGCCGCGTTCATCAACATTCGACTACCCTGTCAGCGACCTGAGTCTAGCGCACCGGTGTCTGAATCCACGCCATCGTCATTTGTTTCGCTGCGACCATATATTAGGCGATTGATTGTCACTGCGCAAGACTCGCCGGCTGTTATGCAAGGCTTCTTCGGTGGTGACTGGGAGGCTGGCGTGGGCTGTATCTACAAACAGGAACGGGTGAACTATATGTTCACGGCTAAGAGCAGTGGGTGGGCATCTACCAAGGCCGCCTACGACATTTCTCCAGATGAGGAGACTCCGTTCTTGAGGCCCCTGCGTGACCCCTCGGAAGATGAGATTCGGGTGGCCGAGGCGCGGTGGAGTGAATGGCTGGCAATGGAGGATTGGATGGTCGGAGCGCGCAGTCCCTGGTAGGATACCGCGGTGATGAGGCACGAATTTCTTTTTTTTTTTTACTATTTTCGTTTTTTTCTTATGTTTCTCATTCCCCCAAAAAATTATATGGTGCTTGTGACAGGGGCCAAATCACAGTGGAGTATAATGACGAAGGCGATCTTTTCCCCCCATTATTTGTGCCATACATAAGAATAGTTTTCCCCAACATAGCAATACAGGATCATCATAGGCACGTCAAAAAATAAAGTTCAAAATAAATTCGACTCCTTTGGGCATGCCCATGCAGAGTCGATAGAGGTCGCGGGTCTTGCGCCAGAATCGATAGTGCCGCACCGCCACAGGCACACCTGGGCAGACTAGAGTGACAAATACTTAAGCGACTTGGAGATTCAATATTAATAATTCATACTCGGAACTCCGTGATTTTTTTTGAATATTCTAAAGCGAGATAACTAACTAGACATAGCTAGGCACAATTTAGCCGGAGAAGTTACAAGGATCCACAAGTCTCTGACTCACGACCCGTCACGCCCATGTGTCAACCTGTCACTTTGTGAATAAAGTGAGGATCAATAGTCTCTTCTGCAAGTCTGCTGATTTGCGTTCCGCTTTATCGACCCGTTTAGAAATCGACACCCCTGAATCCAGGTTCCCGGGAACCCGGTACATGCACGATCGGAATGGCATCGACATGCATCTACGAGCACGATGCAGCCACAATAATACCGGCACTGGTATCTGAACTGCCGTATTCCACGTCTCTGCTCCGGCGAATCCAACATGGAATTGCATATCCGTCTGAGACCGCCCACATACTGGCAACTTTCCCGCCCGGTTTAACCCCTGAGCCTGGACAGCCGTGGCTGGCTGCGCGAGTGGATCTCTTTGGCGGCCGCACAACACAAATGTTGATCTACTCGAGCCTCGAAGCGGAGCACACGTCAATTCCGCCGATCGCCCCTGTCAGCGATAGTACCGGAGCCACACCGGAGATATTAATTGTGGACTCAACAGGATCCAATAATAACAGAAACAATGCCAATAGCAATGATGATCTTGCCGACACCGATGCTGACATCAACAATATAATCACCAAGTCCACTGTTTCCACCTTTTCCGCCAGCCCACCCATCCTAGCCCTGGCCCGCGCGCAGCTATTGGCTTTGCTGTCATATGTTAAGACGTACCTGCTACCGTCCTACCTGTCATATCTGGCGAAGTCAGCTCAAGCCACATCTACGGAAGCTGAAACTACTCCCGTGTTGATATCCTCGGTGATCCCAAACAACACCAATGCCACTACCAATAATAGTAGTGTTCCCCTGATTCCCGCGCCAGACCCAGAGGCCTTCCTCATCGGCAGCCTTCATACTGGTCTATTCTCTCTCCTGCAGCAATCAGGCTCTTACACTCAATCTGACCCGATACCCAATATCCGGGTCCATCGCTTCGATGATCCGCCTTATTACAAGTACTTCTTTCGGAGATCGGGGTTCAGCCCCGATGCAGAGTCTGGAAGATCTGCAGATTTGCCGTACGATGATCTGTCCCTGCCGCCCGGGTATAGGTTCCATGACCGAGAGGGGAGGGAGGGTGTTCTGAGTAAGCATCTGGATCTTGTGCAGAGTCGGACACATATCCCCAGGCCAAGGACACAGCTATCTACAATGCCCGGCATGGCGGTTTATCTTGATTCTGGCTCTAGTGATGCTGATGAAATGCCTATTGCATGGGGATTCTTGGGTGTGGATGGAGCGTTGGCGACGTTGCATGTTGAGCCCGAGCATCGGGGTCGCGGGCTTGCGGTTCCATTGTCTAAAGCTATCATGCGTCGTGGGATGTCAGTAGATGGTGTGTTTGGAGCTGGAAGTGTCCACTCTGAGGATAGTCAGACTCGAGAGCGTGTTGGGGCTTGGGCGCATACTGAGGTGGCTGGGTATAATAACGCGAGTCGGAGGGTCATGGAAAAGATTGGCGGTCAGGTTTTGACGACTGTCACCTGGACTGTCCTTGAGCTGCTCGATTAAAGGTTCTCATCTCCTTGGTTTTGTCTGTATAAGCGGAATATATATGGTGGAAAATGGGTTTACATAACTGCATTCGGGTATCTTTACGCTTATAGCAGAGATATCTGACGCATTTTACAATAGGTGACCAATCCGGGAGTAAATTATGTTTTAGATTTTTGATATATATCTATGTGAAGGAACTAGGGTTGAGGTTCTTTAATGGCGAACGTAGCTTGGACATACTCTAGGGCTATTGACATATCATGCATGGTACGTGATCCCTTTCGTAAAGGAACTGTATGCAAGTGGTCTAATTTTCAGGTATAATTTTAAAGTGGCTGAGTCTGGTAAATACCATGTATATCGATTGGCTTTATTGTGTGTGAGAATGATCGTAGATCTTGGGCTCAATAAGAACTTTGCATTCTTGGCCTGATGATAGTAACTTTGGAATATGACCGATATCGGCCGCTGACTTAATGATGCTGGAATCTCTCGAATACCCATAGTGCTTGTGACAATTCTCCCAGTAGGATAAACCAGTGTAGTGAGTGCTCTCGTCGGCTTCAGGGCTTCTGGGCTAGTCAAGAAGGGTATACTACAAATTAGGGAGGAATGATAAAGGGTGCTTAAGCTATTAATTATATCTAGCGGCTAATATATTCTCAAGTTAGATATAAGGCGAATCGTGAAGGAAGCTCGCCGGGCTCTAAAACTAGAGATCGTGCCTATGCCTGCCTATTATTTAGAGTATATAAAATAAAATATACATCAAGGTCATAAGAATGAGAGTGTTGAGGGAAACGTCAAAAAGTTGACTCATAGTCAACATTGTCCCCAGATATGCCCAATTGGGTTTAGCGGATGATCGGTTGCCGGTGATTCTAGGAGATGCAGGGGGAAACTTCACTTAGTATTTCTCTGTTTCCTTTCATTTCCAAGCCATTGATCAATCTCTGTTCCTTCAAAATGAGTAACTCTAAAGGCGTCGCTGAGAACATGCTCTGGGGAGGCCGCTTCACCCGTGAGTACCCCAACCCCTCCTCCATCCCACCAGAGTATCCACTGACTCATACAAAAAAACTCCAGAGGGCCTTGACCCCCTCATGGTGCAGTACAACACGTCGCTCCCCTACGACCGTGTGTTCTGGAAGCAGGACATTGCCGGCTCAATTGCTTTCGCCCGCGCCAACACCAAGTCTGGTATCCTCACACAACAAGAGTTCGCCGAGATCGAGCGAGGTTTCAAGCAGATCGCCCAGGAATGGCAAACAAACACTTTCGTGGCCAAGGAGAACGACGAGGACATCCACACCGCCAATGAGCGCCGTTTGGGTGAGATCATTGGCAAGGATATCGGCGGCAAGCTGCACACCGGTCGGTCGCGTAATGAGCAGATTGCCACGGATATGCGTCTGTGGCTCCGCGATGAGCTCCGTTTGATCGAGAGCCACCTCTCCGATCTGATCAAGGTCTCCATTGCCCGCGCGGAGAACGATATCGCCTATCTCATGCCCGGTTACACCCACTTGCAGAAGGCCCAGCCCGTTCGCTGGTCACACTGGATCCTGTCGCATGCCACTGCCTTCGCTAGCGAGTTGGAGCGTCTGCGTGAGGTTATCCGTCGCGTTAACAAGAGCCCTCTCGGCACCGGTGCCCTTGCCGGTAACTGCTTCAACATCGATCGTGAGGCTATGGCCAAGGAGCTTGGCTTCGATGGCTTGCTGTACAACTCCATGAACGCTGTTGCAGACCGCGATTTCGCCATGGAGACCATGCAGTGGGGCAGCTCGTTCATGCTCAAGATCTCCCGCTGGGCCGAGGATCTGATCATCTACAGCAGTCTGGAGTTCGGCTTTGTCCGTCTCTCGGATGCCTACTCGACTGGATCGTCACTCATGCCCCAGAAGAAGAACGCAGGCAAGTTTGAATTCCGTTTATATAATATGAAGCAGCATACTAATTTATGTTTCACAATTTAGACAGCCTGGAGCTGCTCCGCGGTAAGTCTGGTCGTGCCTTCGGCCAGATGGCCGGCCTGATGTGCACAATTAAGGGCCTGCCCACTACCTACAACAAGGATCTGCAGGAGAGTGTTGAGCCCATGCTCGACCACGTCAAGACTGTCAGCGACAGCATCCAGATTGCAACCGGTGTGCTCTCTACTCTCACCGTCATCCCTGAGAAGATGATCGCCGCCCTGGCCCCAGAGATGCTGGCTACCGAAATTGCCGACTACCTTGTCCGCAAGGGTGTGCCTTTCCGCGAGGGACACCACATCTCCGGTCGTGTCGTTGCTCTGGCCGAGAACACCAATGTCCCCATGGACACGCTCTCTCTGAAGCAGCTCCAGGAAGTCGACGCCCGCTTCGATGCTGATGTCCAGGCTTGCCTTGACTACGAGCGTGCCGTCGAGCTGAAGGATGCCATTGGCGGAACTAGCAAGCGCGCAGTCCTCGAGCAGACCGCCGTGCTGAAGAATTTACTGTAAAACCTTTTGGATACGATATATGACAGAAAACAAACGTTAAGCTTTCGGTTAGACAAAAATGAATGTATGGATTGACTTGTTTAGGTGTTTTTCAAAAATAAAAGGATTAAACTATGTGGTGCTAATAAAAGAGGGATATCCTACAACATCCCCATCGGACCATCGTTCAAATCTCATCAAAACTCTTAAGCCGGGACTCGAACCCTAACATAGAAATGGCCCAGCATTAACTCCCAAAATCAAAACCAAAACCAACCCTCAAACCCCTCCTCTCGGGCTCATACCCATCCTTCCAGCCGGGGACTTAATGTCGTGTCCAGGGGCGCCCTCTTCCGCCTCATAAGCAGGCGGGACGTCAACATTACCCTCCGCAGCCGCAATCTCATCTTCCAAACTGCGGTGCGCGGGCCTAGACCTCGACCTGGACGCACTGTTCAAACGTCCCCGGGGATTGGAAGTATAATCACTTGTTGCAATTTCGAGCCCATTCCTCAAGCCCCGATCCTCCGGCCTCCCACCATACTGCATAAAACTCATAACATGATCTGTCTCACCACGCTCAGCCTTCCTCCCCCTTTCCCCCTGGGCCTGGGACTCTCCAATTTCCAAGCCATTGGAGTATCGATCCAGATTCGCGCCTAGGACAACTCCCTCGGCAGTGATGACTCGTCCAGCTTGGCTTCTCCCCGGACTACCGCCGTTGCTATTGCTATGGCTGTGGCCGCTGCCGTTGTCGGTTCCTCTTGCTGGGCTTGCACGTGAACTAGGTATAGATGCCGAGGCAGGCGATTCCCAAGCCCGTGGACTAGTCCTCGACTTGATATGATTCTGCTGTCGTTGTCGTTGCTCCATGGGTACGTTGATCAGTTCGCTCTGGGAGTGGGAGGCTAGTTCGGCGCGTAGGCGATGGAAGCCCGTGTCTGGTAGCTCTGGGGTAAATCCTTGGCGGGGAGGGACTGAAGCGAAGAGCTCATTTGAGTGGGGTTGGGCTGGCGGTACTGGGGGCGTTTTGTGGGGAGGGTATGAGATAAGGCTTATTGCAGATGACCCCAATGCTAGATCTGGAGTGAGAATTATGCTTTCCCGTGTGTTATCTGCGGTGAATGGGGAGACGGCGCTCAATGAGTCTATCGTTAGAGCAATGTCTAGTATTAGTGACATGTTATGTTGCCTCAATGGCCAGTTAGTTATGGGACGTGTTGCTGCTCACTATATGCTTCGCTGTCTGATGGCGATAGGGGCCCTTTCGTTTCGGATGCAGTTGCTCGATCTTTCCGAGTAAATCCATACGGGTACCATGAGACGAAATTTGAGCCCTTCTCACGCTTCCCATATTTTCTCTTGTGGCGACAGCAACAGAAGAGCAGAATGGCACATATGACCAAGACGGAAATCCCTCCAACAACACCGCCGATAATTGCGCCCCGGTTTGAGGATGCGGCACTTGGGGTGTTGGATGGGGTACTGGATGGAGACGCGCTAGCGACCAGAACCGAGGACAACGCAGTAACACCTGTAGGTTCCGTAGTCGCGAATGTGTCAGAACTTGTATAAACTTCCGAAGTTGTGAGTGTTACTGGGGATGTGAATGTCTCTGAGACTGGGCGTGTCTCTGGGGCTGTGGATGTCTACAAACCTGCCGATGTTTTTGAAGTAACAGAGGAAGCTGTTGAAGGCACAGATGCCGTCTTAGAAGCATCCGTTGACAAGACGGTAGTTGGTTCCGACAAAGCGGACGTAGAGGAGGTGGTGGTGGTGGTTCTAGGCGTCACGTTGGGCAACAAACCAATGACTCCAGCTGTTGTCAACAAGAGTGTGTCATCGTCGCCGTCGTCCGGACAAATTCCCGTCGTACACGGATCACTTGAGCAGCATCCATGAAAGTTGCCTGCCGTGCAGACATACCACTGCTTGGTCCCAGTGCAAGTATTAGCGTCTCGAGGGACAAGAGACCCGAGGGACTCGAGAAATTCCATCTCGAACACCTCAAAGATCAAGTCTCATTGACCAAATCCGAGAACAACTCGATCAAATCGCAAGACACAGCAGTTACGCTGAATAGTAAAAGCTTGAATGACTGGTAGCGAGAGATATCGCCCTTCTAACGAGATTTGAAGTTCTGCCAGCAGAAATGACAACAGAGGTCAAATAGGCCATGCCCCGGCAGATATTCGAGGCACTCATTAACTTTCGAATGGAGATCACGACCCTGTTCATGAAAGAAGCTGAGAAGGGGTTCCTTTGTCAATGCTGGCGCGGGGTGGCAATGCCATGCCAATTATAGATCCTGGTGTGTCTGTCACCAATCGGCTTCACCTGCGTAGGGTTGGTTTCTGTTTAGCTCGTGTGAGTAGACTCCTCGGCTCTTTGACGAGGCATAGTTGGTTTAGATAACACAGTAATAAATGATCGCAGAATCTAGCAAATTAGCAAAGAATTCAGTCATAACTCACCCAAGGCTCGAAATGAGACTCGAAGAGGCTAGTGTTTGGTTTCTTTGTTGACAAGGCCACGGGGTCAACCCCGGGGAGTTTCGATATGGGACAAGGAAAAAAACTACAAGAAGGACCTATCATAGGGCATAGAAAAGCATTAAGAAATAATAAATCCAATCATATGAGACAAACTGAGGGAAAAAGGACTCAGCACATCAACTCTTCGCCTGTTAAGATAAAGGAAAAAAAATATGGCTATACAGGATGGTTAAGTAACACAGTCAACAAAAAAAAAGGTCTTTTTCATAGATGTTTCCCCATGAAACGGGGCCTTGTGACGCCACAAGCCCTAGTTCCACCTCAAAACCACGAGGCTGGGAGAGGGCGTCGATAGGGACCATCTGAAACAACTCCGTGGTATCCTCCGTATTCTCTGCGGGTCGATTCCAAAATAGCGAGCTTAGTAGGTACGCTTGAAAGGAGGGACGGCCTTGCACTCCGACTCATCCAAGGTGTTAGCCTCAACGGCACGGTAGGCCAGCTTGACCTCGCCGTGAGGCTTCTTCTGCCAGGAGAGAGTGTGCTTCATCCACTTCTCGTCGTCACGGTCGGGGTAGTCCTCGCGGGCGTGAGCACCACGAGACTCCTTACGAGCGGCAGCAGAAGCAGCAGTTTGGGTTCTGTGGGATTTTTGTCAGCAAGCGATCCTAAATCATTTACGGGGTTACGTACGCGCAAGTGAGCAGGTTGCGGAGCTCAAGGGTCTCCACCAAGTCGGAGTTCCAGATCATGCTGCGGTCCTTGGTGCCGACTTGGGCGTACAACTGGTCAACCTTGTTGACCTTCTCGACACCCTCGTCCAAGCTCTCCTGGGTACGGAAGACGCTGACATCGGTCTGCATGGTCTTCTGCATAGCGTTGCGAACCTCGAAGGTCGACTTAGGGCCATCGGCGGTACGGGCAAAGTCGAGGTCCTTGATGGACTGAGCACCAGCATCGGAAGAAAGCTCCTTGTGGGGCTTGCCAGGGGTGGCATTGTCACGAACAGTGTGAGACACAGCACGGCCGAAGACAATCAAATCAAGCAGGGAGTTGGCACCCAGGCGGTTAGCACCGTGGACAGACACACATGCGGCCTCACCGCAGGCGTACAGACCGGGAACAACCTTCTCCTGGCCGTTCTCATCCACATCCAGAACCTCACCAGTGTACTTGGTGGGGATACCACCCATGTTGTAGTGGACGGTGGGCAGGACAGGGATGGGCTGCTTGGTGACATCAACACCGGAGAAAATCGAGGCAGTCTCAGAGATACCGGGCAGACGCTCGTGCAGGAGCTCAGCGGGCAAATGGCTAAGCTGGAGGTAGATGTGGTCCTTCTCGGGACCGACACCACGGCCCTCACGGATCTCCAGAGTCATGGAACGGGAGACAACGTCACGGGAGGCAAGATCCTTGGCGGTAGGAGCGTAACGCTCCATGAAACGCTCACCCTCGGAGTTGAGCAAGTAACCACCCTCACCACGGGAGCCCTCGGTGATCAGGCAACCGGCACCGTAGATACCAGTAGGGTGGAACTGGACGAATTCGAGATCCTGGTTAGGGAGACCAGCACGAGCAACCATAGCCATGCCGTCACCAGTGCAAGTGTGGGCGGAGGTACAGGAGAAGTAGGCACGTCCGTAACCACCGGTGGCAAGAACAGTGTGGTGGGCCTTGAAGCGGTGCAGAGTACCATCCTCCTGGTTGTAGGCAATGACACCACGGCACTCACCATCCTCCATCAGCAGGTCGAGGGCGAAGTATTCGATGAAGTAGTTGGTGTTGTGGCGGAGAGACTGTCCGTAGAGGGTGTGCAGAAGGGCGTGACCAGTACGATCGGCGGCGGCGGCGCAACGGTAAGCCTGACCACCCTTGCCGAAATCCTTGGACTGACCACCGAAAGCACGCTGGTAAATACGTCCATCCTCAGTACGCGAGAAGGGGCAACCGTAACCTTCAAGCTCGCGAACACTGGCCGGAGCCTCGCGGGTCATGTAGTGAATGGCATCTTGGTCACCAAGCCAATCAGAACCCTTCACGGTATCGTACATGTGCCATCTCCAGTCATCCTCGTGCATGCTAAAATTCAGTTAGACTCGCTTCGCTACCTTTCAGTGCTTGTGGTGGAAACCTACTTTCCAAGGGCAGCGTTGATACCACCCTGGGCAGCGACAGTGTGACTTCTCGTGGGGAACAGCTTGGAAACACAAGCAGTCTTGAATCCAGCCTCGGCCAGACCGAAAGCAGCGCGCAGACCGGCACCACCGGCACCGACAACGAGGGCATCGTACTCGTGATCCTGCGCAAGTTAGACCCAATCAACCTCATGTCCATCTGGAGAGTGGTATTGGCTTACAATGATAGGGTACTTGTCAGTCAGGTAGCCATTGGACTCCTTAGCGCGCAAAGGCTGGTTGGACCATATCCGGGCTGTCGCAGTAGTGATTAGTGGTGCGTTCGTGGGTTGGCAATTCGAGTGGTCTAATGCGTACCTGCGGGCCTTGAAGATGAGAAGAGACGTCTCTGGTCCCTCAAAACACGGGAAACCTAGAGAAATTGACGTATGAGTATGTCACGGGTGTTTACGAATAGGCCGAAAATCGTTGCATGGCTACTCACCTTGGATGCAGGAGCTAGGCTCCGCAGGCTCATGGAGCTCATGATGGCGGATCAAAAGAGAATTGAGTTTCCCTAATGAACCAAAAGAATCGCAAAACACCGAGGGTCGGTGACAGGCTTAGCAAAGAGGGGAGATTGTGGAATAGCGAACTCCTTCCAGGGCAACACTTTCATCTGGAATCGGGTCACGGTTGGCGGTTCTACGCTGACATAATCATCCTCGCAGTTGCCGACGGGGAGGACCGGGGCCGAACCAGCCAATCAGCAGCTGCGCAATGAAAATCAACCTCGGGCAGCCGGCCGTCCGTGATTGGCCAGATGGCACGTGTCCACGATTCATTTTGCCGGCCAGTACAGGCTGCCGGAAGGATACGGTAGAGCGTCAGGGAGACTGAAGAGAGCCGCTAGGATGAATTACGGGGTCTTGAAGCTATATCTGGCTATCATTTCTGATTCTAGTCCCACTTTTCCTAGTGGAATGACACACATTTGCTACAGCATAGATGTCGCACTCTTCAATTGCAGTGTACATCTAGATCGAGAGGCCATGTGACTCCACATGACCAGCCGTGTGCTCACCAATAAGGAAAGTACAGGGACTACATCGTCTACGGGTACTATATTGGTAGTCAGAGGATATTGGGTTGAAATTATATTGCATTGACCAGGAAGAAACTCCCACGTAACGAGACAATAGTGATCGTACATCCCATAATCCAAGTAAGTCGGAATCTCTAGTTGTACTGCATATATGTCGCCGTCGAGTTGAACTTGAGGTTGCCCTTGATCACCTTTTCAACAGATGCCAAGAAGTCCTTCTCGGTAGCCACCTTGCGGCGAGCCCGAATAGCAAACATACCCGCCTCAGTCGCAACACTGCGAAGTTCGGCACCTGTAGCATTGGGGCACAATCGCGAGATCAACTCCCAACGGATGTCTCGCTCGACAGACATGCTCTTGGCATGGATTCGGAGAATGTTGGCACGGCCCTCGACATCCGGCAGCGAGAATTCGATCTTACGATCGATACGACCGGGACGCATCAGGGCTGGGTCAAGTGTGGACGGACGGTTGGTAGCGAACATGACCTTGATGTTACCACGAGAGTCGAATCCATCCAGCTGTGTGATCAGTTCCAGCATGGTTCGTTGCACCTCGTTGTCTCCACCAGCGCCATCGTCGAAACGTGCACCACCAACGGCATCGATTTCGTCGAAGAAAATGATGCATGCCTTCTTAGTACGGGCCATCTCGAAAAGTTCACGGACCATCCGAGCACCCTCACCAACATACTTCTGCACCAGTTCACTACCAATGACACGAATGAAGGTAGCATCCGTTCGGTTGGCGACTGCACGGGCGCAAAGGGTTTTTCCGGTTCCCGGGGGTCCATAGAGCAGAGCACCCTTGGGTGGATCGATACCGAGGTTCACGAAACGTTCTGGTGATAGCAAGGGCATCTCAACGACTTCTCGTAGCTTCTCGATCTGGTCTTTGCATCCGCCAACATCGCCATAGGTCACATCGGGCTTATCCTCGACAGTCATCATTGTCACGCTGGGGTCGATCTTTGGCGGCAAGGGCAGCATGATCTGGTACTTATTACGGTCGACGCTGCAAAGGCTAGTCAGTACCTAGAAATGACATATAATCCACTAGCCAGATAACTTACCCAACTCTCATGCCTTCCTCGATATCTGTTGGACTAACGCGCTCTCCGAGGTTGACAACGAACTTGGCAATTTGCTTGACGTTGATCACATATTTGCTCTTGTCCGAGTCCTTCTCATCCTGGATAATCTTTGTGCACCTCGCGACCTGTAGCGGCTGTTCCTCCGCCATACGTTGTCGATCGGCGGCAACATCCCAAAGGTGTGGAGGCGCAAGACCGGTGTCAGATTCCTGGTAAGGCGTAAGCTCCAATTGTTCAAGGGGCCGAAAGAGCTGGACAAGTTATCACCTTAACGCCGATCTTCTCATTGACGCTGTTTTGTTTGTCCTTGATATCCTTCTCGAGCTTCTTCAGCGCATTCGCGTAAGGTGCGGCGCCGTAAGTCTTGAGCACTGCGATGTCTCTGTGATAGACGTCAGTCAATCATTGCCATCGCGCTTTGTGTGGATTAAATCGACACACGCCGGGAACTCACTCGTCTGTAAGGGGTGTAATCTTCTTCTCTGGTTCCTCGTCATCTGCGTAGTTCTTCTGGAACTTCTCCCAGTTCTGACCCGTGGCGCTAGGCATGATGAAAGGTGTTGACAGCCCAAGGCCGAGCTAAGGGAGGGACCAAGGAAACAATAAAATCGAAGATGTATATGCCGATGGAACAAGTTCGACGTGATCTAAAAGCGGTGGCAGGTTGAAAAAAGATAGATAGGTTGGGTATTGGGAGAGCAAAGAACGGTGATGTAGCAGAGCTGCGGTGGTCGAGCTAGCCTCACTAATCAGGTGCCAAGCTTCATCACCGCCCCAGAACCTCGCAGAATTTCCTGTGTGTCCTCCACCACAACAACTCAACTATCTCCTTTCACTCATTTTCTAAGGTTAATTTTGAATATCGATTTTCAAAATGGCCGCCGCAGTAGCACAGGGAGCCGCCGGCAACAACTCCTTCAAGGTGCGAGGCCTCAAAATGATGTGTGTGGACCACTGATTTCTGATTGCATGCAGGACAAGGAGAAGCCGATGGCCGTGCGGGCCTCCAACATTCTCGCTGCTCGGGGTATGTATATCCTCATAGTGTTAAAGGCGCCCATGCTAACGATATCATAGCTGTCTCCGATGCCATTCGAACAGTACGCTCGCTCAAACGATCTGCAGATACATAGATGAGGGGCTAACAGGAATATAGTCGTTGGGACCCAGGGGTATGGATAAGATGGTGAGTACATTTCAGGTTTTCATTCTATCAAGATGCTAATGTCTCTCTAGATCCAAACGGCCAAGGGACAGACCATCATCGTACGCAGCCCAATTCCATTCGAACATGTCGGAAGCCCCAACTGACCCCCGCAGACCAACGATGGAAATACCATGTTGAAGGATATGAGTGTGATGCACCCCGCTGCCCGTATGCTTGTCGACCTGAGTGCGGCGCAGGATGTCGAAGCTGGTGATGGAACGACATCAGTGGTTGTCATTGCTGGCAGTCTGCTCGGCGCTGCCGAAAAGTTGCTAGGCAAGGGCCTTCACCCCACTGTCATCTCCGAGTCTTTCCAGAGAGCCGCCGGTGCTGCCGTCGAGATCCTCCACAACATGTCCCGTCCTATCAACCTTTCCGATCGTTCCACCCTCCTCCAAGCCGCTTCTACTTCGCTTTCGTCCAAGATCGTGTCCCAGCACTCCGGACTCCTGGGCCCGATGGCCGTCGACTCCGTCCTTAAGGTTTGTGACCCGAAGACCGCAGAGAATGTGGACTTGCGGGACATCCGTATCGTGAAGAAGGTTGGCGGCACAATCGAGGATAGCGAGATGGTTGATGGCGTGGTTCTGAACCAGCCCGTGATCAAGAGCAGTGGTGGCCCCACAAGAATCGAGAAGGCGCGGATAGGTCTGATCCAGTTCCAACTGAGCCCGCCCAAGCCAGACGTATGTTTATTCGCGCCTCAAACTGTTGCTGAAACAAGACTAACAATCAGATTCTAGATGGAGAACCAAATTGTGGTGAACGACTACCGTCAGATGGACAAGATCCTGAAAGAGGAGCGCCAATACATGCTCAACATGGTCAAGAAGATCCAGAAGACCAAGTGTAACGTTCTTTTGATTCAGAAGTCCATCCTCCGTGACGCCGTGAACGAACTTTCCCTGCATTTCCTTTCCCGTCTCAAGATCCTCGCCATCAAGGATATTGAGCGTGATGAGGTCGAGTTCCTGTGCAAGAGTCTCGGCTGCAAGCCCGTCGCTAATGTCGACTCCTTCACCGAGGACAAGCTCGGCACCGCCGACCTCGTCGAGGAAGTCCAGGCCTCCGGTGCTCGTTACGTCAAGATCACCGGTATCAAGGCTCCTCTTGTCTCTTACAACCAGACCGTCTCAATTGTCGCCCGCGGTGCCAACAGCTTGATTTTGGATGAAGCCGAGCGATCTTTGCACGACGCCCTGTGTGTCATTCGCTGCCTCGTCAAGAAGCGTGCCATGATCGCAGGTGGTGGTGCTCCCGAGATTGAAGTTGCCCACACACTCGCCATGCGCGCTCGTGAGCTTACTGGTACTGAGGCTATCTGCTTCAAGGCCTTCGCCGATGCCATGGAGGTCATCCCCACTACTCTCGCTGAGAACGCCGGACTTAACTCCATCAAGGTTGTGACTGAACTGCGTCACCGCCACGCTCAGGGCCAGCACAATGCTGGTGTCAGCATTCGCAGCGGTGGTGTGAAGGATGATATCACAGAGGAGAACATTCTCCAGCCCCTGCTGGTCAGCACCAGTGCAATTGAGCTGGCTGCGGAGACTGTGAAGATGATCATGAGAATTGATGACATTGCTCTGTCGCGGTAAACGCCCTCGGCGGCCGCTAACGTGAGCTGTATGATGGAAAGCGATCTAATCGCGACGAGTAATTAAAAAAATATCCCGTTCCTGCATAGAATCACTCTCAGAGTTATATTCACTTCCTGTGCAATGTATATGGTAAGCCGAGCTTCCTGAAATAAGATCCTCGCAATTTCTATCATGAAAGGTGAGAACTGGGGTGTAGTTAGGCTCGAGGGTGTCATGTTCACATGGAAGATTGAAATTGGGGCTATTTAGGGTATTGCGCATTTTGAGGGTAGCCGTAACCAGGGAGGATACTTCACCTCCCTATGTGCACACTCTCCAATGACTTCCGTTTGGCTCATTCTTCGCTCTTTAACTTGATCAGTGGTGCCGTCTAGTAAAATGCACCAGTCAAAAGCAAATTGAGACAATGAAATCCTTGGAAGTTGTTCAGCTTCTTCATAAGGCACATATGAGTATTTTTATATATTTTCTACGATGATATTATATTCCTTGGAAGCTTCCGACTATCTGAAATACTAGGGTCACGTTTGGCACGTATCCCTTTAGAAAATAATATATAACTATCAAGTAGAGTAGTTTTGTATAACACCTAGTTAGAGCAAGCAACACTTCAAGTACCAAATGCCCCGATGAACAGCCAATGATTCCATGAATAGTATACACATCAACGACAAGACTAGCCTGTAAAAAGTGAGCCAATCACCACCAATATTAAAGTCCAAAATGGGTTTGAATAAGGATATTTGAAGCTAGAGACATGAATAACTCTTTGTCCGCGCCAAGAGATGAACTCGGCCCGTTTCACAAGATCCCCCGACATTAGAAGCTCTCGAAAAAGTGATCTCTGCTTTTTCATACATTGTCTCAGTAGTTTGGCGACTCTATATATTTATATACACACTTACTGTCATTAAAACAGTGATTGCTGGCGTCTGCCCGCCTCGAATTGCTGGCGATAAGAGATAGCGTGACGAGCCGGACGACGTCAGCTCGGCCTGTGAACTCCGATCAACAAACACCATGGGGAAATTCGAAGATGAAGGGAACTCGGAGTCTGCACCGTCGAATCGACAACGATCGGAATCACTCTCCTCACAAACATCCACCGACTCAGGCCTATCGATCGCCTCCGAATTGTTCATGAAGAACCACAAGGGAGGCAACACGATGCCGATGGAGGAAGAGGATGGGGACCGATACCGGGATATTGAAGACGGAAGGGAAACTGGCTCAGATGAGCCTCTTATATCAAGCGGGAAGAAGGCAGGCTCGTCGAGTCGCCTGCGCCGGATCGTCTGGTTACTGGTGTTGCTCTGCGTCGGTGGCTGGGTGATTGCCTTCGTGCTGTTCCTCGCGCAGAAACGTCCCGATACTGCGGCGCTCTCGTCTGCCTCAACCGTGGATATTCATGAACCAAACCCGGCCGCCGGTGGTACAAGCCACGGGAAACCAGTGACACTCGAGCAAGTCTTGAGTGGTACTTGGTCTCCGAAGTCCCATGCGATCTCCTGGATTGCGGGCCCGGACGGCGAGGACGGTCTTCTGGTTGAGCAAGGCGAGAGGCAAGACGCTTTTTTGCGGGTGAAAGACATCCGCAGTAGTAAGGACGGCGTCGATAGTCTCGAGACCAGAGTGTTGATGAAGAAGGGGTACATCTGGTTTGATGGAGAGGCCATGCAACCGGCCAAGACGTGGCCAAGTCCTGATATGAACAAGGTCTTGGTCATGACTGACACCCAGTCCAATTGGAGACACTCGTATTTTGGGAAATATTGGATTTTGGATGTGGCCACACAGAAGGCCGAGCCGCTAGATCCTGGGAACTTGAGTGGACGTGTACAGCTTGCAGCTTGGTCGCCAACCTCTGATGCGGTTGTGTTTGTTCGTGAGAACAACTTATATTTGCGTAAGCTGGCTTCCTTGGAGGTCACCCCTATCACCAAGGATGGCGACGAGAACCTCTTCTATGGTGTTCCAGACTGGGTGTACGAGGAAGAAGTCTTTGCAGGCAACACCGGCACCTGGTGGTCTGATGATGGGAAGTTTGTCGCATTCCTTCGAACCAACGAGTCAGCAGTCCCTGAATATCCTATTCAGTACTTCCTTTCACGGCCATCAGGCAAAGAGCCACCGCCCGGACTTGAAAATTACCCCGAAGTCAGGCAGATCAAATACCCCAAACCCGGCACCCCGAATCCAAGTGTCAACTTGCAGTTCTATGATGTTGAGAAAAATGAAGTTTTCTCATTTGACATGCCAGAGGACTTTGTTGACGATGAAAGAATTATTATCGAGATTGTTTGGGCGTCCGAGGGCAAGGTTTTGATTCGAGAGACCAATCGAGAGAGCGATGTTGTGAAGATTTTCGTCATGGACACAAAGGCCCGAACTGGGAAACTGGTGCGGTCAGACGATATCGCAGCTCTGGACGGTGGTTGGGTTGAACCTTCACAGTCCACTCGGGTTATTCCCGCTGACCCCAACAATGGTCGACCACACGATGGTTACATTGACACCGTTATTTATGAAGGCTATGATCACTTGGCTTATTTCACACCTTTCGACAACCCAGAACCTGTGATGTTGACCAAGGGTAATTGGGAAGTGGTCAAGGCACCGTCCGCTGTTGACCTGAAGAAGGGCCTGGTATACTTTGTTGCCACAAAGGAGGCTCCCACTCAGCGTCACGTATACTCGGTCAAACTGGACGGATCTGATCTTCGACCTCTGACGGATACATCTGCACCCGGCTATTTCGATGTCTCATTTTCCCATGGAGCTGGCTATGGTTTACTCAGCTATAAAGGCCCAGCAGTGCCGTGGCAGGCTGTGATCAACACCCAAGGTGACGAAATTGACATCATAAATCTCATCGAGGAGAACGTTCAACTCGCTAAGATGGTCGAAGAATTCGCCCTCCCAACAGAGGTGTACACCAATGTAACCATTGATGGTTACACGCTCCAAGTTCTAGAGCGCCGCCCTCCAAACTTCAACCCTGAAAAGAAATACCCCGTGCTTTTCTTCCTATATGGTGGACCAGGATCGCAAACGGTCGACCGCAAGTTCACGATTGACTTCCAGACCTATGTCGCCTCGAGCCTGGGTTATATTGTCGTCACTGTGGATGGCCGAGGAACAGGTTTTATTGGGAGAGAAGCCCGCTGCGTTGTACGTGGTAATATCGGCCATTATGAAGCTATCGATCAGATTGAGACGGCCAAGATCTGGGCTAGCAAGAGTTACGTGGATGAAAGCCGCATGGCAGTCTGGGGCTGGAGCTACGGTGGCTACATGACCCTGAAGGTCCTTGAACAAGATGCGGGCGAGACGTTCCAATACGGCATGGCCGTGGCACCCGTTACTGATTGGAGGTTCTATGGTAAGCTCATTCACATTACTACCGTTTTGTTTGTTTCCCCACATGCACCTACTAACATGCTACTTCTCCATAGACTCTATCTATACAGAACGTTATATGCACACCCCCGAGCACAACCCCTCAGGTTATGCAAATGCCTCCATCAATGATGTCATGGCCCTAGGCCACAGTGTACGGTTTTTGATCATGCACGGTGTTGCCGACGACAATGTTCATCTCCAAAATACTCTTGTGTTGATCGACAAGCTGGATTTGAAGAATATCGACAACTACGACATGCAGGTCTTCCCTGACTCAGACCATAGTATACAATTCCACATGGCGCATGCGCTTGTTTATGAACGTAAGTTGGTTTCTGACGCGCTTCCATTTTATGGCTTCCCAAGGTTGGAAAAGAACATGACTAATTGCGAATCAAGGTCTCTCGAGCTGGCTCATCAATGCGTTCAATGGTGAATGGCATCGGATCACGAGTCCGAAACCACAAGAGTCGACGTGACGCAGGATCTTGTGTCGTTCGGTTTTTGCTTTTTTGACTTTTCGGGATAAGTACGTTTGTTTTGGAATTATCTACACCCCGTTTGGGTGGATTATACTCAGCTAGATATATATGGCTTCAAGGAACAATGGATGCATATTATAATTCAATATATTCTCATGATTAAGACGAAGAATATAACCTTGGAAGATAAAAGGACTGTAGTCGCTGAGGTATGCCGCAATTTCTTAACACGTAAAAACAACAAAACTGGTATAAAAAAAACCAGACAAAACATATTAACAGAGGGCTTTTTAAGCATTTCTTATGATTCCTTCCAGGAACAAAGCCAGACACCGAATAATGCAAGTATGAACAGAATGCAGCGAGAAAATATACAAGAGTGCAGTATGTGCAAGATTGAGGAGGGTGAGTGTATAGAACTCAAGATGAGTGACTAGGAGAAAGCCCGCCAGCCCGAATGAAGTCATCTCTGTTGGCGATACTGACATCCGAATTTCGGTACGGAAGGAAGTCTTCGCGCTGCAAGCCACGCAGCTGTTCCCGTCCGACAGTTGAGACGGAGCGCGAATAGGACTGAGGACGAGATTGAGGACGGGAACCCAGCAGAGACAACCGATGGTTGGAGATCCACATAGGTGACCTATTACCCGGGGAGCTGCCGTTGGACATCGCGGTAGGCCTTGGCGCAAAGACAGGCAGACGAGCGAAGGACTCGGTATCTGTGGAGAGATTACTCATGCTCATAGCCGAGATATCAGACATGGGACGGTGGTAGCCGCCGCGACCGGGTACCTGGGATGCAGAACTGTAGATCGTGGAGATACCGGATTGGGCAGACGAGCGCCAGGAATGCACTGCGCCGCGCGGGATGGTGATGATCTCTTCATCGACGCCAGTCTCGATGGCGGCTGCCACGTCGGCCGGCTCGATCGGGTCGCCAGCTGCGCGGCTGGCCATCATCTTGGCGGACTTGCCAATCCACAACATCTGCTCGTGCTCGCGGAGGTACCGGTCGCCACTGAAGGACTTCTGAACAATCTTGCGGGTCATCATACCGAGTTTGCGACGGTGCTCGCTCTTCTCGTACATGCGGCGGGTGATGGCTGCTACTTCCTCAGGTGTGGGGGCGGAGGTCAGGACTGGCGCAGGCGATGTGTCTTCGCTGTGTTTGCTCCATTCGCCGAGCATGGCAAGCATACCAATTTGTGCCTTTGCTAGGGCGAGGGCGTCGTTTGGTGCGACGACGGCACTGAAGCGGGAGAAGTCATCCGGGTCGCTGAGTACTCGGAGGGAAGCACCTACGTCTGTGCAGACGACGGGGGCTCCAGTCAGAGCAGCCTCTCCTAAGGCGAGAGGAAGACCTTCAGACAGAGACGAGTTTAGGAAAAGCCATGTGTTCTCCAGGACTTTCATGGGGTCGGCAGTTCCACGGAGCGTGACTTTGCCACGAAGACCCTTTGATGCGATAATCTCTTGACACTCGGTAGAGTAAGTCGGGGCCTTGTCAATGGCGCCATAGATGTCCAGATGGTACTCGTCAAACTTCCACTGGTTGATGATGATATCCGCAGCAAGAAGGGCAGTCTTGATGTCCTTGGCATACCAAACGTGGGACAGCATGGTCACAGTCGGACGCTCGGATTTGATTTCCTTGACTGGAGAAAACTTCTGCATGTCAGTGATACCATTGACGACAGGATCGATCTTTCGGCGGAAAGTGTTTCGGTGCTCAATCGTGCCTTGGCAGGTACCAATCTCGACCTCCCAACCGGGGTTGAAGAAGTCTGCACAGGGAAGGATGATGTCTGCGTGATGAAGGGTCAAGACGGAGGTAATTCGCATTAATCCGAGAAGGGCGTTTCGAACAAATGGAGAGAGCTTGCACAGGGCAGATGACAGGCAGAGATTAGTTTCACGCCAACTAATGGCGTGGTCCCAAATCTGCAAGGTACAGTTGCGCTTGATCTTGCATACAACACCATAAGAGGCACTGACGCTGTGATGCGAGGCTTGGAAGGTTGAAGGGATCTTTTCAGGAACCGGGATCGAGAAGATGAAGAGATAGCGGTACCAGAGCTCCAAGGCGACATCGAGGGATGCCAAGGTAGGAAGCTCAGTGTCGAACCACTCAGATGATGGGATGGTGTTCGACATTTCCTGGGTCAGCCACAAATCGCGCCAGCTCTGCTTCACCATTTCACTGTTCCACACCTGAGTCCAATGACGGGACTCCTGGAAGTATGTGTTCAGGTTCACAAGTGCTCGAGTCGCCTGGTGGATATCAGACTTCGAGAGATGAACTGCACGCGCACCCTTAACCAGAGCTGTCAGAATCGGAATGAAGTTCATCTTGATGTCGAACTCGCTCGCGGATGTAACATTGTCCACCTCAGCATCCAGCTTGTTGTGGAACAAACCGTGAGTTGGAGTGAGGAAGTCCATACCCCAAAGCGGGATCAGCTTGAGAGACTGGATGTTCTGTTCGGTCTGATGCTTGGGGACACCAAAATCGTTTGCAGACTCGCAAATCATATGCCATTTGATGGTTCGCAGGGAGTTGATCATATCTCGTCGACAGGCAGAGACACCGCCACCTTCATTCGGCCAGGTACCGTTGTCTGCCGCCATGACATGGAGCGTCTTGTCAGTATCAGTGCCAAAGTTCTTGGAGCGGGTGTTAACAACGGCATCACCACCAGGGCCGAAGTTGAGTAGATCGGTGAGCTTAACAGCGAGCGGGGTCCAGCTGGAAATGTTGTCGTCCAGATCCGCACTGGCCATGATCGCATCAGCGCGGAGATCCACATACTTCTTTGCAGATCCAAGATTGCCCCAGTCACGGCTGCGCCAGTAAGGGGTGAGAACCTTATCTCTGCGCAGAATGCGGTCGTCCATCCAGCGAACAATAATTGCGTCGAAGTCAACACGATCCTTCCACGCCTTCCACATCAAGGAGCGAGCCCGTGAAGTTGACACAACAAAGCGCTTCTTGGTGAGGCCTAGTGTCCGGGTAAGAAGATTTGACTGGAGATTGTCGCAGTAGACAAAGGGGTTATCGTGCACAAAACTGGTATACTTCGGCTTGGACAGTACACCCAGATAATCGTGCTCAATCATGGGCGGAGTCTGCATCTTCTGTCCGTTGATAGTGGTGAAGATGGTGGGATGGAACTTGTGATCATACAGCCAACGACTTTCATAGACATCGGCGCCCTGGACAAAGCTGGCCTCGGTGACCTTGGAGTGAGGAATCCAGCGCTCAACCTTCTCGGGATGGCGACGCGGAGGCGCGCACCAAGACACTGTACAGCTGATGTGAGATAAGACAAACTCGGCTCGTAGCAACTCATCACCAAAACGGGGGTTCTTCCGATAGTGGTACTTGAAGCGGATAAGATTGCCATCCTTCATGTAGGAACCCGATTCGATAAGACCCTTGCGGTTGTACTGGACACTTTGCAGATGGTTTGCTCCTGACACGCAACGTCGTCCTAGTGGAATGCGGTTCGAAGACTTGCTAATCTTGAAGCCCTTCTTAACTGGGGATTGGTAGTCGTAGTGGTATTCGTTGATCACTTTGCCGTCCTTGAACTCCTGCTTGACCAGAAGCAACATCTCACCCGAATAGGTGCTGACGTACCTCAGGGATTTGACCTCCTTGGGCTCGGTTTTGTGCTCGCCAGCGTAGTGGTAGATCTTGAAACCGCCATCGATTTCGTGGTGCCTGAAGGCTGTAAAGGTGCCGTCCAGACTCTGGACAATGACCCGGCTCTTCTTGATATGGATCGTCATACCCTTGGTCTCTTCCCACAGCCGCTTGACGTTCTTGCGGCCATGGAAGAGAAAGAATGACAAGCCTAAATCTTGAGCAATCTTGGAATACACCCAGACCATATTCAATAAGAAGACGATTGGCACACGGATAACAGTCGGAAGGGTTTCAGTGACGTGATTGAACTCTCTCTGGAATTCCGGATCTGCGACCAACGCCACCACAAAGAACTTGACCATTGTTCCCAGCTTGTGGTAAATGTAGCTAGCTGGTGATCGGACTAGAGACAATGCAACCGGGAGCTTCCGAGGTATGTAGGAAATGTACTTTGAAGTCTCGGGCTCTTTGGGAAGAGCGGTTTCTCCAGTTCCCCAGTGAGCATAATCGAGAACGCTAATTGCAGTAGCTGCTCCAAGGTTGCAACGGGCAACATGGATATCGAGGTCATCAGTATCGAATGTGCAAAGACTTTGCTGGAGCCATTGGCGTTGGCTATTGGAGAGGCTGCATTGTTGACCCAAGCAACGCTTCAGTAGCACATCCCGAATTTCGGTTGGCAACTTATCCCAATGGAGATCGGCCTCAAAACCGAGGCAAAGCTGCCGAAGGAGTTCCTTCTTAGCCCAGCGTACGACCGTAGTTGAGTTGGTCTCCTCACGAAGCTGTCGAGCCATTGTGTGAGTTACTCCTCCGGAAACAATCGACCCTGCCAATGATGCGTATTCATGAGGAACACCCATCATAAGCTCTGTGACAGCGTGAAGCAATGTCTCAGCGATAATCTGACAATTTGCGCTAATATCGAGACGCTCGTCTAGGAGTCCTCCCACGGTAATGGCCAACTTTAGCTGGTTTCCGGTACTGCAGCTAAGAGCTCGAATGCCAGGACCGAGAGAGCCAGAAGAGACAAGCTCAATGACAATGTCGCCCTTCTCCCACGATGTAATCGCGGTGTTCACAATATTCTTGGAGCAGGGGAACGCCTCTTCGATCCTAAGTTCTTCTTTGCAAGACATCATAGCGCTCTTGATTTCGACACCAGGATGGACACCAGGATTGAGCCTGAATCGAGAATCAGAAGGAAGCAGTGAATAGCTTTCGAAGAAAGTCTGAAGCTCTTGCTGGGACCATTCGGGGTCCGACCAGGGCGTTGTAAACGCATGGAAGGTGCGGCCAAGTTCCACCGGAGAGTCCACTTTGTTTGGCATACCCATTTTGGCATTCC